TCTTGGAGTCCCTGCTGACTGGATCTTGAGTCTGTGGGGCTGTGGGCTGAGTCCCTTCCGCCCAGCACTGACAGATGTGCTAATTTCCCAAGCAGGGAGGCCTGGGCCTCTGGGGATGAATTTCTGGGGCCCCGTGGGGAGATCTTTCTCTGGAACAAAGAGAGGGAAAACGTGGGCTGTTCCTGAAGGTGCACTGCGGCTTTGGGGACCTCGCTGGGGGCCTTGGGTGGCCCTGGGCTCCAATCTGCCTTGGACAGCAGGGTTCTGAATGTAGAGTCTCTCTGGCCCCAGAAGTCAGGATCCCAAGTCCCTCGAGGGATTGGATGGGGCAGCAGCCCTCCATTTGCATTGTCTGTGACAGAGAAACTGGCCTCTGTGTCAGGTGAGCATGTCTACGCTGGGCCCCAGGACATGGTTTCTTCCGACGTGGCCATGGGACCTTTGGAAGGTCGGTCCCTTGGCCTGGGAGGAGTACGAACACCATCCAGTTGGCTTTCAAACTGGCGGCCTGTGGGCTGCATGGGGGCCTCAAATGTGTTTGTGGGTCGCGAGGTGTTTAAAAGAAAACCAAACCAGTTGCCAATGTTTCTTCCATTTTCCAAGTCGTTGTTTGCTCATTCACTTAGGAAGGGTGACTGGGGGCTACTGTGTGCCAGGCGCCAAGGAGGCCATCCTTGCCCTCGCAGAGTAGACATCCTCACGGAGGGACGCGATCGTGGAAGAAAGCAAAAAAGAGGCACAAAGCTATCCCTTAGGGCCAAGCGCTGCCAGGAGAGATGGATCCTGCCTGGGGAAAACGGTGCTTCCAGAAACAGGAGTTTCTGCCCAGCCTCAAAGGACGGCTCCTCAGCCCTGGGCGATCCAGGAGGAGAGCACAGCCAGGGTTTTGGGAAAGTGGAAGGGCTACCTGGGGTGGATGTGTCAGGTGCCCGGAAAGGGGCAAAGGTCGTCTGGGAATTTTCTGGTACTTGAGGCCTCCCCAAGTTTAGGAACGGGGCGTGGGTGCATGGGGAGCTCACAGGGGCCCATTGTACAGACAGGAAAACTGAGTCTCGGAGCACTTCAGGCAATGAGCATGTGGCAGAGCCAGGATTTGAACCCTGTCTGGCCAGGCCCACAACTGCAGCCCTCACCTCTCAGTGCGTGGTCATAGTGGGCCCTCCCAGGGGCAGGCCTCCGGAGGGGTCTATATAGGTGGCTCTGAGAGTCCCTCAATGGGTCTCAGTTTCTCCATGGGTACCAGAGGGAGCTAGGGACAATGGGACCCCCCAAAGGGCCTTCGCCAGCTGGAATATTCTGGACTTCCAGAATTTGGAGCTGCATATGGGTGGCACAGCCTACCCCCAGACCCACAGCTCTCCTGGGGGATGCTGACTGTCTTGCCTCAGGAAGCCAGAGGGCAGGTGACACCACCATAGGGATGAGGTCCCACCTGCGCCTGGGGACCTGCATGCAATGGGGGGTCATCCTGGGGGCTGCGTATGTTTGGAGAGCCCTGAGGGTCTGCACATTGTTGCGAGTCATGTTGTGCTTTGGAGTGCTTGCATGTGTTTGGAGATCTGTGTGCCTGTGCTGGAGGCATGATGTCTGTGTGTGTCGGGGGATCTGTGTTTGGGGGTATGGGTGTTTGAAGAGTTATGTGGTTTTGAGGGGTCTATGCGTACTGCAGACTGCATGTTTTGGGGTATTTTGTATGCAGAGTTCACATGAGTTTGGATGACGTGTGTTTCTGGGGTTCTGTGTGTTTTAGGCACCTGTGGATTTGTTTTTGGGGGGCGCGTGGGGCTCTGCATGTCTTCAGGGGAATCCCCCTACCCCTGCCCCGTCAGTCTGTATGAGCAGCAGGTCTCCCTTCCTGCCGTTTCACAGCCTTCTTCCGTCTGCCTGGGGCCCTCACTCTGAGCTAAGTGCCCCCACTTCCAGCTGAGGAGCAGTGATCCAAGGTCAGGGCCCAGTGACAGGGGACGAAGAGAAATAGCATCTATGGAACACCTACTTCTGAAGCACCGCCCAACTCAGGCACCCCTGACTCCCCGTTTTCCAGGGCAGGAAACTGAGGCCCAGAGTAGTTTGGCCACAAGAGAGCCATCCTGGAGCCCACCTGGTCCCCGAGGGCAGGTGCGGGGCTCCAGGGGCTGCTGTGGGCTGTGCCAGCCCCTAGGTCACCCACAGTGCCCCCAGTCTGAGGCGCCATCTCCCAGACCCCAGGGAGGGGGCAGGCTCAGGGCCTGGCTGGAAGCGGGGGTCATGGGCAACTGGGGTCAGAGCCACTAGAGCCCTCAAGGCGGGGGGGGGGGGTCCTGGCTTTCCAAGGGGCTCTTCCTGTCGCCAGTAATGAGGTACTTGGGGAACAGGTGATGAAACCACAGCCTGAGTTGCGTGAGGCGGCCCCTGGCCTGATTCGCTGCAGTGGCCCAGGAGCAGCGCCCCCTCCCCGCTTCGCCGAGTCCCTGTGTGCCCTCACCTCCCCCCACCACCCACCTGCCTCTCACTTCTCCTTTCCTACCCTCCTTTCCCGGCCTGGGTCCCCAACAAGCCGTGTGGCCTCCGGGCTCCGGGGTCTGGCAGCACGCTGTCGCTCATCCCCCCTGTTAAAGTCCCACTGGGAGCTGAGAAGAGGAACTTGATTGGTTCCTGATCTCTTCTCTCAATCGCTCACTGCAAAGCCTTTGAGGCTGTGATTCTGAGACCGATTTTAGGGGGGAGGAAATGGGGGTTTGATGTCACCAAGCGTGTCCTGTGCTTATAGCCATGATCTTGCAAGATGGCATGCTGATTCAGTGTCCCCAGTCCTGACCTCTGAGAGGCCACAAGACAAGGTTGAGAGACACTTTCCGCTCCACCCCACCCCTCTCCTCCCCAGGAGGTGGAAGAAGGATTCTTACTCCCGTTTACAGGTGAGAAAACTGAGTCCTCCGTAGAGAGAGGCCAGCGTAGAGAGTCAGTGGGAGGGTGACATCCATTTCAGGCCCCCATTTCCATCACCGGGGTCTAAGGGGCCTCACCAGGCCAGGAAGTAACAGTCATGGCCTGAAGGACCCCAGGGATATTTGTTGATTGACTTAGTGGCCACATGTCTCAACAGAGAGAGTTTACGATACTCCAGAAGGTCATGAAAATCTTCTTTCATACCCCAGTGCTTCCCCTGCACGGTGCTCAGGCCAGGGACCCTGGCCTCCTTCCCCACCCCATGCGTGTGCTACCAGTGTGTCCTGTCGCCTCCATCGACAACTGGTCCATGCGCTTCTGCCCACCTGCATCGCCATCTCAGCTCGTGGCCCCGTCTCTCGCCTGGACACCTGCCCTAGCCTCTCCCTATCACCTCGCTCCTGCCTAGACAGACACTGCTCCCCATGGCAGCCAGGAGCAGGCGGGAGCTTTTTTTTTTTTTTTAAATCTTCTGATAGAGATAAATCATTCCAAGTAGAACTAACAAATTTGCACAAACTGAACACACCTCTGTGCCCAGACCCCGGCCCAGGGAGCAGAACACCCCAGGCCCCGGGACTCCCACTGCCCTGTCATGGCGCCTGCCCTGGCGGCCACTGTGCTGACCGACATCCGCAAGTGAGCTTTGCCTGTTCTGGAACTTCACGTAAATGGACGCACATGGCATGTCTCTCCTGTGGAGTCCAGCACTGCTGACCTGGGACAGGCCTGGGAGAGTCCCTCAGGTGGCTGCATGGGGCGTGAGTGCGCCCTTTTTCTGTGTTATGTAGTAGTTCATCGTAGAAACTACCAGAAAGTATTTACCGATTCTCTCATTGAGGGCATTTGGGTCGTTTCCAGTTTGGGGCTATGATAAACGAGGCTGCAGAGAACACTCTTATCTGTGTCCTTCGGTAAAACAGGGACCCATTTCTCCTGGGCGAGTACTGAGGGGAGAGATCGCTGTGTCACAGGCAGACGACGTGTAGTAAATGCCAGCTTTCCGCAGTGGCTGTGCCTCCTCCTCCCACCAGCAACGCACGAGAGTGCTAGGGGATTTTTAAAACTGTAAAATCATACCCCAACCCTCCGCTGCCCCCACACTCTCCATGGCTTCCTATGGCTTCCCACTGTCCTCAGACTAACACCCACAAATACCTACGTGACCCAACCCCCCAATCCTCCCCACCACCATCCTCCTTGCCTCTTCCCTTTGCCACGCTGTCCAGCCATACAGGCTTCTTTTTTTTCAAAATGCCAAACTCACGATCACTCTGATTTTGGCCCCTGCAGTTCCCGGGACGGGACCACCCTCCCCCCAGACTTTCCCACCACTGGCTCTTCCTTCATTTGACCGTCTCTTTCTCATGCTTCAGGTCTCGGCTCAAGTGTCACCTCTTCAGACAGGTCTTTCTTGAAATCCCTGGCTAACAATGCCATTTTTGTAGTCAATACTTCACTCTTTTTGGACCTGGGCAGTTCCCACTGTTTTCAAAGGTCTGAGTTAGTTTAAATAACATTGCGCTTTCCTGTCCTATGAGGTTTGATACAACAGCCATAAAACCACCTGGGCCTATTGTCTTTTTATGATAAGTCTCAGTGACTTTTCTAGTCTTCTGTGGCCATTGGTCTACTTACACTTTCTACTTCTAATGAAGTTCGTTTATCACAGTGGTTGGAACATGGTTGATCTTAATAAATCGATGCAAGGAAAGGGGTAGGGAAGGGCTGGGCTCTCAGCTTCAAATGCCCATCCCACTGTCCATCTGCTCAGGCTCCCATTCAGTCTCTCCACTGAGGCCCAATTACATGTTTCCTCCTCTGAGATGCCCTCTCGGGTTTCTCCTGACCCTTCTTCCTTGTTCCATTCCCTGTTGATGGGATGGGTACATCTCTCTGCCTCTCTGCCAGGCAGCTGCCACAAGCTCTCTGCTTTCTGGCTAGACACTGGCGTGGGGGTGGTGCACAGAAGAGGCTTCCCCAAACTTCAGCCTCCCTCCTCGTGCCTGGCACATTCAGCAACCACCGCCACCTCCCCCCAGCAGTTCCGATCACGCCAACATCTGGAGAACTGGCCGCTGGTTTGTCTGCGGCTCGGAGTGGGGATTTGCATGTAAGTACAAATATATATGCACAGCCTGGGCCTTCCACCCCCACATTCCTTGGCTGGCCCTTCACACCTGGGCCTGAGACAGGTCCACTCAGTGGTTGGATTTGCATGCGCATGTATTTCTGGGTAGGGAGTCAGCTGGGGGAGTCTGAGAGGAAGTTGTTGAGGGAAGCTGTGGGGAGATCAGACGTGTCTCTTTTGAGCTGCTCTCTTCACCAAATCTACTTGGTCACCCCTATGTCTCATCCTGAGGGGCTTCCAGTCTGGGGGAGACAGAGCTGGATACACACATCCCCTGCCCCTGGGGTCGGAATCGAAGGGAAGGAAGGGGGCTGTAGCAGTCCAGAGTGGGGGCAGGGAGGACTTCCTGGAGGGATGGGTTTTTGAGCTGAGGTTTGAAGTGTGAACAAAAGTTGGTCAGAAGCCCTGACGGGTGGCTCAGTTGGTTGGGTGTTGTTCCACAAAGCGAAGGATTGCCTGTTTCATTTCCAGTCAGGGCACATGCTTAGGCTGTGGATTCGGTGCCCTGCTGAGGCACCTTTGAGAGGCAGCCAATGGATGTTTCTCTCGCACATCGATGTTTCTCTCCCTCACTTTCTCCCTCCCTTCCCCTCTCTCTAAATAAATAAATAAAATCTTTAAAAAAAAAAAAAGTTGGCCAGGTTGAAGAAGGTGCCAAAAGGCTTTCCTGGGAGCGACATTCTGCTGAAGGTAGAGAAAGGCAGGCAGGGGCTGACGGGGGCAGGGCCCCGAAGGCGGGAGCTGAAGCCCCCCTGATGGCAGCAGGGGGCCACGAAGAGTGTGGGAGCAGGGAGGGTCCTGATCGAAGCTTTGTGTTGGGTCGATCCCTCAAGGACCAAAGCTGGGGATGACTTTAGTTCCTGGGTGAGGACTTGGGGTTCCAGGGTCATTGAGAGTCGGAAGGGTCAAACCCCTGTGCGAGCCCCTTGGGGCCTGGCCCCGAAACGGCAGAGGGCCTGGTGCCTCCTGGAGTCCAGGGACTTCGCCCCCAGCCTCTGCCCAGATGGATGCAGCCCTGCGCCTGCCCCCCTCCCCCAGTATCCTGCCATCGCTAGCCTTCCCCCGTCCCCGTGGCAGCTGTGGAAAATATTTCACTGGTGAATCAAACTCTGTCCCTTCTTACTCAGCCCCTCCCATGGCTCTCTGTCACTCTTAGACTCCAACTCTCCGCCTTCGCCACAGCTCCGAAGGCCCAGGGTGGCCCTCCTGCCACGGCCTCTCCGCAGAGCTCCGAGTTCCAGTGTTGTCGCTGTGTCTCTCTCGTCGCTCCTCAGGGCATTTGCACCTGCTGTTTCTTCTGTCTGGAACTCACTTCCTGTCTTGCTCTTGGGTCTCAGTTCAGAGAGACCCCCTGGACCTTTTGGCCCTTGGGGCTCCCCCATTATGTGACCCCTGCCCTAGCAGGGATGCCCTTGTCTAAAATGGGGACAGACTGAAAAGTCAGATGTTCCGGGCCCAGATTCTCAGGTTCGAGTCCCACGTTCTCATGGGACCCTGGGCGTGGGGGGCATTTCCGGAGTCATCTTGGCACCAGGACCTCCGGACCAGTGCCCCCCTGTGCCTCCAGGGACCCATCAGGGCGAGAGCAACACATCCCAGTCGTGGGAACTCGCCTGATTCCAGCCAGGGATTAAAATTAGCCCCAGAGGTTAAATTTAGCAAATCGATCTGGAGCTAGGGACCTGGGGCTGCGGCTCTCGTCGTTGGCCAGGCTCTGCATAGCTGTGACTGCTCAGAAAGCCAGCCCAGGGAAGGTGGAGGGCCCTCCTGGGATCTCACAGTGGGCCACACAGGATGGCCAAGGCATTGTACACTCCTGGGCCCTGGGATCCTGGGAAGCAGACGTGGCTACTTGTGGAGACAGACCTCAAGCACCAGACATTCCCTGCACTCCCCCGGAGCTTGTTTCCAGGTCTGTGCGGGGCGCTCTGCATTTCACGCCCGCCGCGCTCACAGAACCGCAATCCGAGGCCCCAGGAGAGGCCTCCGTTGCCGAGGGCTGCCCAGGGGGTCAGAGGCTGGCTAGGACCTGAGCGTACGTCCATGTACCCTGGGCAGGATTGTGACGTGGCTTCAGTTGCCGTAACATGGGGATGGCTTGGGGCACAGTGTGGTCGCAGAGTTGGTGGATGATGTCAGGGATCTTGGGGGCCTTGGGGTGGCTGGCTACAGCATGCAGGGTGACGCTGATTTCTTCATTCCAAGGATCCCTGCATGGGGGTCACGAGGGAAGGCCTGGACCCCAACGTGCTATTTGTTTTGGAGACATGCTGCCCTCCCTGAGTTGCCCATTCTCACCCCTGGGGACCCCACTGGGGAGATCTGAGGTCCCCATGAGGCGGGTCCGAGGTGTCTCTCAAGTTGCCCTGGGCCCAAATCATGGTCTGAGGGCTCCAGGCCTGAGGCCTTTCCAGGACGTCCTCCCTCCTCCTGGCAGAAAGTGAGGCAGGTTTCTGTTACTTAAAAAAAAAAAAAGTTTTTAACCCTGGTGGGTGGCTCAGTTAGTTGGGGTATCACTGAGGGGGTGTGTGCGTGTGGGGGTGGGGTGCGGCAACCACTCCACGAACCTCTGTCTGTCTGTCTCACATCAGTGAACATGTCTTTGGGTGAGGATTAAAAAATAAATAAATAATTAAAATTTTTTTTAACAAAAAACATCCATAACCCTTAAGGGGAAGAGTTTGAAAATTCAGATAATCAAAAACAAAGACAAAAAAGCCCTGACCAGTTGGCTCAGTGGGTTGGGTGTCATTCTGCAAACTGAAAGGTCACTAGCTCGGTTGCCGGTCAGGGCGCATGCCTGGGTTCCAGGTCCAGGGCATGCAGTAGGAGAGGCAACCTTCCGATGTTTTCCTCTCTCTCTTTCTGCCTCCCCTCTCCGCTCTCTAAAATTAAATAAATAAAATCTTTTTAAAAATTTATTTTTATTTTTGACTTTGGAGAGAGAGGAAGGGAGAGAAATAGAGAAGGAGAGAAACATTGATGTGAAAGAGAAACGTCGATTGGCTGCCTCCCTTAAGTGCCCCTCCTGGGGACAGAACCTGCAACCCGGGCGTGTGTCCTGACGAGGAATCGAACCAACGACCCTTTAGTTTGTGGGACGATGCCCCACCAACTGAGCCACACCAGTCATGGCAATAAATAAATTCTTAAAAAAAAAATCCTCATGCAAGGATATATTTATAAAATAATTTTTTAAAACATGAAAAAAAGACACAAAGGGTCACACATTGTATGGTTCCATTTACATGAACTGAGCTGTCCAGATCAGGCAGAAAGAAGATCAGCAGTTGCCAGGGGCTGCGGGAGGGGGATAGGGAGAAACTGCTTATGGGAATGGGGTCCCTTTTTGGGGGAATGAAAAATTTCTGAAACTAGGTAGAGGTGATAGTTCTACAACATTGTGAACAAACTAAATGCCATTGAATTGTACATTTTAAAATGGTGAATTTTGTGTTATGTCAATTGCATCTCAGTTTTTTAAAAAAGGAAAACTCACCTGTAAATTTCCATCAGATGGTGTCTCCAATAACAAGCATTTCCTTTTAGTCTTTTTTCCACACTCCATGCAGTTTTTAAATGTATATTGGGTTTTGTTTTGGGTTTTGTTTTGTTTTGTTTGTATCCACAGCCCTTGATCTTGTTCTGGGGGCTTTCATATGTTGAGTGCGTTGAAAGGTTCCAGTGGGCGGAACAGGCACACTTTCAGAGGCTCAGGATCACTGAGTGCTGCGTCGGATGTCCCTCTAACTTGGCCGGTTGAGGGTGTTTAGGCTGTTGCCAATATTCATAATAGCAGTACATATGTGGCACCTGCTATGTGCCAGGCAGATGTAGGTTAGCTCATTTTGTCCCCAACAACAATGAGCAGTACACAACACTGTCATACCCACTGCATAGATGGATGTGCAGGGAGGTCAGGCTCCCTGAGGTACCACATTTACCAGGGGGTAATTTTTTAGATGCTGGGGCAGGAGCATCTGTACCTCCATCTTTTGCTCTGGGTCCGCCTTGTCCTCGTGTGGAATTGGTGCAAAGCTGTTCATCAAGCATCTGCCGCATTCTGGGCTGGCTAAAAGTGAGGGCTGTGGGGGTGGCCCAGCCTGCCTTGATTTCCCCCATCGCCTCAGCCAGAGCCTGGCAGGGAGAGGTGGAGGAGAGAAGGAAGGCTGGTGGCCCGGCCCCACCCCTCACCCACACACTCTGTCCTCTTTTCTTTCTCCCCCAGACCAAGGTTGCTCTGCCCAGCCTAGGACAATGGGGAGGAAAAAAATACAGATCTCACGCATTCTGGACCAAAGGAATCGGCAGGTGAGTTCACTGGGTGGACCAGCGGTTGTGGGAAGGCATTTATGGCAGAGGACATGGCCTGGGCGAATGCCTGGCCGTTTGGGGGACTTGTAGGGAATGAGTCCTGATGCCATGTCTGGAGTCAGATGCAGCATTTGCTCATCTTCATGATTTGCTGAAGCCCTGGTCATAGAGGAGCTGGAACTTGGGTGTGGGTGACACAAACACACCCAACTCAGAGGGCTGGACCAGAGGGAGGCACAGCACCAGGCAAGCTCAGAGAGGGTGTGTGGGCCCTGCCTGGGAGACAGAGGAAAATGTCCCAGAGAAGAGGTCATTTGGTCTGGGTTTTGAAGTTCCAATAGAAGTTTGCCGGGTGACAAGTGAGAAGTACAGCAATAAACAACAGCCTGTGCAGAGGCACGGAGTCACGAGGTGTGTTCAGGAAACTGTTAGGCCCCTCCGCTCCCCCACACCACTCCCAATCCTTGTCTTCTCCCTCTCACCTGTTGGTCCTGGGTCTAGGTGACATTTACAAAAAGGAAGTTTGGGCTGATGAAGAAGGCCTACGAGCTGAGCGTGCTCTGCGACTGCGAGATCGCTCTCATCATCTTCAACAGCGCCAACCGCCTCTTCCAGTACGCCAGCACGGACATGGACCGCGTGCTGCTCAAGTACACGGAGTACAGTGAGCCCCACGAGAGCCGCACCAACACCGACATCCTCGAGGTACCCCCTCCCCGGCCCCATGAAGCCTGCACACTCTGCTCGCTCAGAGACAAGGGACTCTTGGTTTGTACAAAAGATGAGTGCTGCAATCTGGCTCTCCTGCCAGTCACAGCAGGTTTGGGGGTAACGCAGTAGTTACCTGGATAGTAGAAGTAAAAACATCAATCCCCGCCCATGGAGGGCTGCACTGGGTGCTCCTCACACACATCATGCCATTTAATCCTGCTACCCATTTGTTGAGCACAGAACAGAAAAGTAAAGGCACTGTAGAGCAAGCAGACCTCACTGAAGTCTAAGACCATGCAGGTCACCGGTCCCAGGTAGCTCAGGAAGTCCTATAAAACTGTCCTCAGGTGCTCAGTTTCCCGACCTTTGTTGAGGACCTACTGCATGCCAGGCTCTAACACAGCACATAGATGCAGACTGGACGCACCCACAGTTGTATTCAGGAGCAGTGTTAGGGCAGTGCCAGCAGGCCTTGGTGGCTCTCTGGTTTCAGGGCAGGACAGTCCCTCTCTTGCACACAGTTAGAACTTACCAGACAACTCACTGGGGGGTTTGGTCAATGGGGTTTTACTGGAACAGGCTGTACCCGCACCCTGCCCCACCCACAGAGCTGGGTAGGTTTCTCCCCTTAGCCATACAACCAGACTCCCTGGTTAGGATTGGGGGAGGTTTACCCTGTTGTGTTCCCTTGCCACAGACACTGAAGAGGAGGGGTGTGGGCCTCGATGGGCCAGAGCTGGAGTCAGATGAGGGACCTGAGGGGCCGGGAGAAAAGCTGCGGAGGCTGGCAGGTGACGGGGGCGATCCAGCCTTGCCCCGCCCCCGACTCTTTGTAAGTGACTCCCTGCCCTGCCATGAATGTGGCCTTCCCCCCACCTCCTAGGCCCAAGTGGTCAAGGCTGAGACTGGAAAAGGGCCAGGAAGCCTAGAGTTTGGTGGTAGGTCTCTGACTGGATGGGCAGGAAAAGGTTCCCAGAGGGGTGGGTATTGTAGCTGGGGCTTTGAAGGATGAATAAGAGTTCAATAGACACAAACGTATTTGGAAAAATAAACTACTTTTTTAAAAAAAGAGTTCAATAGACAGATTTTCTTTTTCTTTTTCTCTCTCTCTCCCTCCCTTTCTTCCTTCCTTTCTTCCCCCTCCCTCTCTCTCTCTCTCTCTCTCTCTCTGGTTCATCAAAAACCTGGGAAGCCCCTCAATGCCAACCCCATGCTGAGTGAGAAGCCTCAGTTCTGGGCCTAGCAGTCAAGGAGCAACAGAGCCAGACACAGGCATGCCCAGCCATGTGAGATTAGGCCAGAGGGAGGGGCAGCGAGGGCTTCCAAACGGTGGAGGCTGGCCCCTGAACTCATTGGGATATTCCATGTTGGGCTTGAGGCCCTCACCTCCTCATTCCTCCAACCGATCCTGTCCTCTCTGCCCTCAGCCAGCGGCCCCCACTATGCCCAGCCCAGACATGGTATATGGGGCCCTGCCCCCTCCAGGCTGTGACTCCAGTGGGCTTGGGGAGGCCCTCCCTGCCCAAAGCCGCCCATCCCCCTTCCGGCCAACAGCCCCCAAACCCGGGCCCCCAGGTAAGCATGAGGCATGGGGGCAGGGAGGCAGGGGTGAGGATCCCAGGGGAGTTTGTGGAGGTGGGGATCTTGGCTCTAGCACTGCTTGGCTGTTTAGCACCTCTGGACCTAAGATTTCAGTAGATGACATGTCTGCCTGCCCTCTCTCTGGGGGTCTCCTGCTCCACAGGCCTGGCCCACCCTCTCTTCTCATCAAGCCACCTTGCCAGCAAGACACCACCACCCTTGTACCTGGCAGCAGATGGGCGGAGGTCAGACCTGCCTGGTGGCCTTGCAGGGGGCCGCGGGGGACTGAGCACTTCGGTGAGTGAGGGGAGGGAGTGTCAGGGCTGATGGGGGCAGGCAGGGTGGCCTGAGTGTGGTGGGCCTCAGTTTCCCCTTCACCCTTTCTGCTCACAGAGAGGCCTCTATGGTAGCCTGCAGAGTCCATGCTCCGCTGCAGCTCCGGGGCCCCCACTCGGAAGCTTCCCCTTCCTCCCAGCAGGCCCCCCAGGTATGCGCTTCCACAGCCCTGCCTGCTGGGCAGCCCACACTCCGCCCCGCCCCCCCAACTGAAAACTGGCGGGCAGGAGCCTCAGTTTACTCCTCCTGCCATCCCCTAGAATACGGCCTTGGAGACCCCCCTCCGCCTCCCGGCTTGCTGCAGCCCCCTACCCTGGCCCCCTGGCAGCCTTCGAGGGGTGATGGGCCCCTAGTCCCGGCTGCCCAGCCCAGGTAAGTGCCCTCACTGCCGCCCCCGCCCGTCAGGCTCCGCGGTGGGGGCCCTTCCACGTCTTCCCAAGCCCCTAGCTACTGCTGACCCCTGGCGGCCACTCCCGTTCCTGCACTCAGCCCCTCCGGAGTGCCGGCGGAGGTGGGGGTGGGGGGCGGCTATTTTGGAGGCCCCAAGAGAGATGGCCACCCCCTCCTTTCCCAAGCTCCTCCTGCCGAGCCTTTGCCTAAGCCGTGCCACCTCCTGGTTTCCCTCCCTTCCTTCCTCGCAGAGCTCACGGCTCTCTTCCCTCCTCTCTTTGCAGCGGGGGCCGCAGCCTGGGCGAGGAGGGGCCTCCAGCCCGCGGTGCCTCCCCAACGACCCCCCAGGTCAGCATCAAGTCTGAGCGCCTCTCGCCGGCACCTGGGGGCCCCGGCGACTTTCCCAAGACCTTCCCCTACCCCTTGCTCCTGGCCCGGCCCCTGGCAGAGCCCCTGCGGCCCGGGCCCCCGCTGCGCCGGCTACCCGCTGCGGACAGCTGGCCCCGGTAGTGGACTTGGGGGTGGCACTGGCCCTGCCCCCACTACGTGACCAGGCTGGGCGGGGTCACGTAGTCTCCCAACCTCCCTCCCCGTGTCCTTAGAGAAGACCCAGTGGATGTGACCCCCTCCACGGTGGGGGCCTGGAGGAGGAAGGCTGGGTTCGGATCCATGGTCGTGGGACCCGATTTCCCCTTCCTGAGTGTGCACCCACAAATAAAACATGCATGGCCTCCGTGGATGAAACGGTCTGTCGCTGCTCAGAGCCACCCCTACCGCGCCAAGGCCCTCCCACCTCCTCCCCAGTGGCCTCGATCTAGCCTTGTCTGGGTTTGGGGTACTCCCGCCAGAGTTCCACCCCGAGATGAGGATTCAGGCGCGGTTGGGGTGTGGGGAGAAAGTTCTACAGTGGCAGGTGATGTGAGGACAGGGGTCCTGCAAGGGACGCAAGTGAGCATGAGACAGCGGTGGGACACCAGGGCTGGGCCTTGGGGAACATGTGGAGCGTGCCCCTAGACGTTCCACCCCACCAGCGACGGGCCTGGCTATTTACCCTCAAAATTTGGGGTGTCAGCTGGTAGGTTCATGGGGAAGTCCCCAGGCTGGTCACAATTGCTTGCAGCAAAAAAGCAGCTGAGAAACTTGAATTTAGGGGTATTATGCTGTTTCTCTTTTAAATGGCTTATCCCTTGATCTATGACTCAGCCGTTGTGTTGTACAGGAGGGAGGGGGGAGCCTGGCAGCCACCCACTTACTCTGAGGTGCACACTACACTCCCTGCCCCCTCCCCATCTCTGTCCTGTCCTGTGAGTGGGCAGACTTGAGGGGCTAGGAGCCCAAGGGAGCTCTATGTGCTCCTCCCACCTCCAATCACCTTGCAGGGGCTCAGTGTGATCTCTATGACATTCAGATCGGACCCCTGACATTCATAGCTCCCCAGCTGCCCCCACCCACTCTGCCCCTGTCCCCCCATACCCTGTCCTGAGCCCGCTAGAAAAACTTGGGGTTCCAACCCTAGGGCAGCGCTGGTCCTTCCTCCTGGACCACCTCCCTCAACCCCCAACTCACCTTTTTTAGAAGACTGCCTCCTTCCTGCCAAGGCCTAACTCCCTGTGGCTCCCCCAGGAGTGCCTCCGCACTGCCCCAAGCCGGGAAATGGCTCCCACCGCTAAGTCCGGCAGACGGAGGGTTTGTGGAGTGCAGATCACCAGGCCTGTGGAGAACACAGAGTACTGGCCTCAGCGCTGAAAAGAGCTGTCCCTACTCCCCACCCCACATTCTACCGAGATCCAAAGCTGATTGGTTCAGCTTGGCTGTTGAAGACCCTTGTCCCCTTTTGTCACCCCAGCACCACACAGAGGTGATTTTGCAGTAAAATCCAATGCCTTGCATCCCACCATTGGTGCACACGGTCACAGATGGTGGGTAAAGGGGGGAAGCCCCCAGAATGTGCCTAACAGGCTTCAAAGTCAGTTCCAGTCCCTGGAATTCAGCACCTCCCCTCTGTAGTCCTCGTTTCCCCACCAAGACGGAGGGCTGACTCCTTCCACGGGTGGGAAGAGGGCAGAATATGTAAAGTGACAGGCCTCTATGAGAGGTGGGCCACTCTCAGTGGTTGTTTATAGAGAATCATGCCACCCACATGCCAGGCCCGGCTGGGCTTTGTCCTCCATGGACCTTGGAGTCTTTGACACATCATCCCCAGTAAAGTCGGGGCTTTGGGGCCCCAGTTTCCAGGGGAGGGACATGGCATGATCAAATCTCTCCTCCTGAGGACTCCTGTGCTGGGAGGATGCAGTGGGGGGCCAGCGGGCGAGAGCAGCAGGAGGCTGAGGGGCTGGGAGGTAGGTGTGTTCGGGGGTAGAGCCACCAGGATCCCTGGATGACTCTAATGTGGCGGTAAAGGGGAGAGGGTGCCATGGACAACTCACAGCCCCTGACTGGGATGAGGGCATTAGGGGACCCCCCCGACCTGTGCTGGGGGGCCTGCAGAGAATGCAGACGGTGAGGGGTGAACCGAAGGCCTCTGTACGGTGCCTAAGTGAGATTCAGGTCCTAAATACTCTTCCCCTGCTCCCTGGTGCCCCAACCCACCCTCAGAGGAGGGGTGAAACACTGCCGCCACTCCAGCCCACGACAGTGGACTCTGGGACCCAGGCCATGCATACAACCTCCGCCACCCCAACAGCACCCTCGGCATGGCAGGATGGTCACCTCAAGCGTGCAGATTCTCCAAGTGGGTTACCCTCTGGCAATCCCCTCCTTCAGGTCACGAGGGCCCTGGCCATCTACACGGGGTGCACAGATTTCCCACCTGGTGGACCCCGCAGTGTCAGTCACAACTCCCCATACAAACAGACACAGCACCCCTGGGGGAAACTGAGGCGGGGCCAGAGAGGGTCCCTTCTCAGCCTCTGGATCCTATCCTCGCAGTGGACAAGAAGCCAGGCAAGTCTCTGAAGTCTGTGCCCACAAGCTAAATGCTCAGTGGAGGGTTCATGAAAACGTGGGTTGATTTCAAAGGCTGGGAGAGCTCCAGGGCCGGAGTTCTGCTCCGTCATCCCTGGGGGTCTGCACTTTTGTTATCTGCCATTAGGTGGCGCCCAACAACGTGCTTTGGATTCTGAGCTCCCCACTCAACTTTTTAAAATAAAGTAGAAATAGTAATAAATACATAAAATCCATCTTGGCTTCCAGGGGCTCCACCCCATGTCTTGAGGCTCCCAGCCTGGGGACTCATAAAAAGGTAGTGTCATGTGTTGCATGTGTGATTATGCATGTACCGTGTGCAAAGTCCTAGCCCATGAAGGAACAGTGGGTAGGCTACTAGGTTCTAGAAGAATCTCTGCGTCCAGACCCTGGATAAGTCCCGTTGCTCTGTTGGGGAGGAAGCAGGAAGGGTTGTATGGAAGTGTCCAGCACCAGCCTTACTAAGGACACCATGGTGACGTTGGCCAGGGCCAATGTTACAGTCAGAGGATCCCAAGTCCTCCAGGAGCTCTGTCACTGGTTGGAAGCTCCGTGGGAACTGTGGCCTGGGAACAAACAGTGACGGAGGTTGGATATCTGAGAGATGCATTTTTGAGAGCACTGTGGTAAAACAGTCAGTGTGGAATGAGTGTGGATCTCAGTATGGTCACAGAATGTGGGATGCTAGTGTGGACAGACATAGGGATCATCCAGCAAGGATTGGGGGCTTGGAATGCCCAATGGGGAGGACAGAGACTGAGCAGTGTCCAGTGGAGAACACTGGTGATGAGCAGACAATGAAGAATGAAGCACAGAGCCCTTCCATTGTAGAAGAGAAGACTTTGGTTTTGCTCTGCATGCATTGGGAGCCATGGATGATTGCGAGCCATGGATGGTTGTGAGCAGAGGAGGAACGTGGTCTGGCTCAAGTGTTAACAGGTGTTCTCAAGCAGCTCAGAAGAAAACAGACTGTGGGGTGGGCGTGGGGATGGGGAATGGAGCAGGGAAGCCAGAGACCAAGGAGGAGGGGAATGCAGGCAAGAGATGATGGAGGCCTGACTGGGCGGAGGTTGTGAAGGGAGTGAGGCTCGATGGAACTGGGTTACACTTCGAAGGTGGAGCCATCGGGAGGAGCTGACAGGTTAGGTGTGGGGCGAGAGAGGAGTCAAGGCCAACTCCAGAGTTTGTGGATAAGCACCAGGAGGATGAAAAGGCCATGGAAGGAAGGTTGGGAGCATCTGGGGCCAGGATGTGTGTGAGTTGCCGGTAACACCACGTGGGGGCACTGTGACACCCAGACTCAGGAACCCCATGCCCCAGGAAGAGATCAGGTAGAAGTAGAGATCCGGGCCTCTCAGGCATCAGTATTTCCATCAATTAAATGGAGATAAGTGTCCCACTACCTTGGCCCGCTGGAGGGACTCCCAGCATGGCCTGCAGAAGACGCCCCCATGCCCCTCCTTTTCTTTCTTGTTCCCTCTTTCCTGACACCTTCCCCAATCCCATCTTCCCTGGATCTCATCTGTATGCCCTGGCCCTGAGGGACATGTCATGACCCTGATGTAGGTCCTGGTAAATCCCAGAGACTCTCAGGGCCTCTGTCATCCCTCCTCTTTCAAAGGGACAAAAGTCACAGAGAATCCCCTGCAAAAAGACATCCACAAAGACAAAATCAATAAAGACAGAATCACCCGTAGAAATGAGACAATCAGCTGTACAGGCCCTACTAACAGGTATCCACCTCATAAAGACATTGTCCCACCCACCTGTACATCAACACTCATGCAGACACACACCCATAGCAAGAGATGACAAAATTTAGGCACCTAAGCTTTAACTTCCAAGCCTAGAAAGAGAAAACATCAGATTCTCTTCTTTCTCTCCGTCTCTGGAATAGGTCACCTTCCCCCACCCTACCCTAAGCTCTGACGGTTCTTTTGTCTCTGTAACTAGTTTCCAAGCCCACAAAGCCCAGCTGGCTCACTTTTTCTACCTCTGTGAGTTTCTAAATAAACTTTTGCTTGAGAGAGAGAGAGAGAGAGAGAGAGAGAGAGAAAGAAAGAAAGAAAGAAAGAAAGAAAGAAAGAAAGAAAGAAAGAGAAAGAAAGAAGAAAAAGATTCCTGAGGCTGGCATTTGGTTCTTGATCCAGCTATGCCTCAAGTTAATACTATTTTTAGTTTTCTGTTACAGGAACCAAAATTTATCTTTTTTGCTGGAGCCCATTTGAGTTGGAATTCATCCATCCATCTATTCATTCATTCTTTCTCAAAACCAGAGTTTTGGCTGGTAGAGATGAATAGGACTTTTGCCATCTGAAATAGATTGAGAAGGGAGGCATTTCAAGATGGAAAACAGCGTTTACAGAGACCTTGGAGGTATGAGGTAGAGTGGCTGGTGACAAGCTTCACTATAGGATGCACAACTGTACTGGCAGCCGACTGAAGTCAGGCAGAGGGTTCTGAATTCAGTACTAGCGCTTGGGCGTCTAGTTAGTGGGAACCATTTAATGTTCTTGATCAGGGGAGTTTCATGTTCAGACCGATCCCGCGGCAGACAGTGGGTGAAAGGACGAAAGAATGTATTGGCCGTACACCTGAGACTTAGGTCCAGGTGAGGAGCCTGAGCCTCAGAGCTGGCGGCCACACAGGTGTCCCTGATCAGTCCTAATTCAACCGCGGTGTGAGCGCGTCTGACGTCTTCGAACTACGATTTCCGGCATGCAAAGCGAGCTACCCCGGTCTCTCCTGGTGTGCTCCGCACACAAGCATGATGATTGGTCGAGCGGGCTGCTTGTCATACCTGAGTCAGGCTCCTATTGGTCGAATTCCCATAAAATGCCCTGAGCCTGGACTCGCGGGTCTGCGCACCGCGCTCCAGCCGGCAACATGGTAAACGGGTACCCTGAGTCTAGAGGGGGCTGGGGTCCTTTTGTGAGGATTGGAGGCTCGCGCAGAGTGACGTGTGTCCCTCTCTGGGGTCAGCATCCCGCTGCGGGTCATATGAGGGTTCGGGCGTCTTGCCGAGGGGACTGGAATCCCCTGAACATTCTGGGGCTTCTAGTCTCAAGGGGCCTGGGATTCCGCTGAGGAGACTGGGGACCTGAGCTCGCTCGGGGCCCTGCGAGGGAGGTCTGGGGTCCCACTGGGACGCACTCTAGGGACAGGATCCAGCGGGAGCGTGGGTGCAGGGCCGGCGAGTCCCTGCGGGTACCGGTGCGTGCGGAAGGGCCGGAGGGCCCTGAAAGGAGGGGGCCAGGCCGACGGGATCTGGGTGGCTTCAGGGCGGCGATGGTCCCAGTTTGGAGACAGCGCAGTTGCAACCCTCAGGTCTCACGCGGCTCTTGGGTCCAAAATTTGAGTTTGTTCTTAAACTTTATCCCGGCCCTGTGTGCCAAGCTGGTGCCTGGCGAGGGTGGGGACTCCTCAGTCCCTAGGAGTTGGCACTGGACAGAGGGAGATGGTCTGGAGGGACCCATTAGGGAACTTGACCCTGCTAGAGGCTAGGGGGGAGGGATGTCCCCGAAGAGGAGCGTCGAAGGTGGGTCTGAAGTGAGAGCACTAGTGGAGGGGGTGCTTGAAAGTGGGAGTGATTTCGGGCTGGATGGAGATGTGGGCGGTGAGGGAAAGGGCTGTCAGGACCGGGATGGAGGAAGATCCCGGGAAAGGCTCTGAACAGGAGAGGGAGTGGCAGGTTCCAGAAGATCTTTGGAGATCTGCAGGGCTTGGACTTGAGATGCTGCTGGGGGCGGGGCGTTGAGAAACGTTCCTGGGTGGACCTGGGGTGGGAGTGCTTAGGTGGAGGACCCATGCCTTTCTTCCCTCCTTCTTAGCCTCCCTCTGGTCCTTTCTTCCTGTCATAGTTACTGGGGCCACAGTTCAAACTATGGGCCCCCTCCCTGGGAGGTATGGGGGGGCGGGGCGATGAGCCAGGCATTGTGGTGGAGTGGTCTAGCTGGGCCTGCCCAGCCTTGCAAACTGTGGAGCGGACTTGCACGTTGACTGTGAGACTGAGAAGCTGCGGGACATCCTGGAGGAGCCGCGTGCTGTGTTCTCTGGAATGAGGGGTGGGTGCTGGACTCCCGCAAGGAAACCCCGGAAGCACCGGTCTGCGAGCGTGGCAGAGAGGTCCAGGCCGGAGGTGCTGCTCTCTTGGGGTCGTGCTGGGCCAGGTCGGTGGTTAACACCCTGGCAGAGGATGGGGCTATAGGAGAGTGGTCCACAGAGGGAGGAGGAAAGCAGGCAAGAGCGCTCAGAGGCTCGGAAGTTTGGAGAGCATTGGTGGGAGGCTCTGGGGGTCCCCAGAGGAGAGCAGAAGGGGTTCTTGGGGGGAAGGGTGGGTGGGAAAGCCTGACCCTCAGGGCGTGGGAGTGCCCACAGACCTTGACAATGCCATGGTCATTAGCATCTGCTGGCCAGTTTGTACTTAGTGGAGGGAGAGTGAGCAATGAAACTAGGAAATCAGTGAGATCTAGAGATCGGAAAGATGGAACCCCACCCTCATTACTGAGAAAGTACTTAGGGTCTCAGTTCACAAGTCACAGGAATAGAGAAAATATCCTGTGAGTTTTGTTGGTTATTTTAATCATGGATCTCTTAGCAGTCGTTCCGAATTACAGTGCTAGGCCTGATATTTATCACACTAGAGCTTTCCTTTTTAAAGTTGGCTTATTTTTGCCTGATTAAGGGATAACTTAAATAATATTAATCTTTATTTCATTTCAGTTGTTAATTATAACACTATAATACTAGTAGATAACTCTCCGGAGCACATTTTACATAATTACTGACAGCAGATCAGTATTTACATATTTTTGAAGAGCTTCAGACTGATTACCAAAAAACATTTCTCCTAAAGTGTTTTACAATAAGTATGTGAAAATGTGTAACGAATTTTTGTTAAAATGGTTGGTATACAGAACTTGGTGAGAAAATTTCCCAATGAAAAAAAGGCATCCCACTCGAATGCCTGAGTCTTTATCTCCAAACAGGTAGTGGCCAGCGGAGGGGGTAGATGACAAAGGGAAGTACATAGAGAAAGAGTGGGTGACGGAGCCATCCGGGGTACATTAAGGCAGAGCCACCAGGGTGAAGGTTGGAGGCAGACGCTTGCCTCAGACAATCGGTCCCAAGGCTGGGACGATGGTGGGAGAGGAGCTGTTTTCACCGGGTCATCGCAGGTCCAGCAGGCCAGCATGAGAGCACAAGAAACAAAATAGGAAGCACTTCATTTGCAGCTGGGGAGATCAATACCTGAAATCCATGGCAGGGACTGGAGGCAAATCTGTCTGAACCTGTCTGTCCCAACACGGGCCCTCCATCCCTGCCCACCTCTCCCCCCACAACCCCCGCCAGGTGCGGGGTTCGTACTCAGCAGAGGCTCCCAGGGTTGGGACTGACCTCATGCAAGTCCTCTTCCCCAAGACGCTTGGGGAGCCAGGGACTTGCCACCCTCCCCCACCTGGCTCTGCATCTCTATAAATAGCTGGGCTAGGAGGGGGTGATCCTGTTACCCTCTGGTCAGCACTGCCTGTCATGTCCCCTCCCCCAGGCAGTCCTCGGAGCGCAGCTGGTGGTGACCCTGCTCGCTGCCACTCTCATGCACAGGCTGGCACCGCACTGCTCCTTTGCACGCTGGCTGCTCTGCAACGGCAGGTGAGCCACAGCCCCTCCCAGAGGTGGGAGGAGCCCAGCCTTCTCTAGTCCCCGCAGCCCTGCCTCAGGCCCTGCTGGTAGTTTTTTTTTAAAACAACTTTATTGAGATGCAGTTAAAGACAGTAAACTGCATATTTGGGAAGTGCACAGCTGGATCGGTTCTGACAAGCGTGCGCGCACACACACGAGGGCCATCTCCACACTTGAAAGAGCAGCTGCCCCGCCCCTCCCACCTCACCCCCCTTCCACTCCACTCTCACTGGTAGATGCAGATGTTTCCTGAACCACTTTTTGTCCCTGTTCGGGTCTGGGATTTGGTGGAAACTACACTCCCCCTCGGACAGTGTGTACACCTGCAGTGCTGGGAGTTAGCCAGCAGATTCGGGGGTGTCCATGACCCCCGCCGCACTGCCCCAGCCCACCTCCCGTGCCTTGCCCTGGCCTTGCACGGTCCCTGCTCCTCCTGTCGCCAGGTGCTTTAGGGTGCAGCCTGCCCTCTGGCTCCAGCCTGGGTTTTGGGGTTCACTGCCTTGACATCGCCCCACCTATCCTGCCCTCAGCCTCTTCAGATACAAGCACCCTTCGGAGGAAGAGCTCCGGGCCCTGGCAGGGAAGCAGAGGCCCAGAGGCAGGAGGGAGCGGTGAGTGAGTCCCCACCCTTAGGGAGGCTGCCCACTCTCAGGCACTGCTCTGGGCGCAGGAGAACTGAGGACGCCCCAGGCTGAATGGTTTTTGTTGTCTTGCATAGGCTGCCTTCAGTAGGTGTGGAATGCTTAGAAGTTTGCTGTGGGAAGGCCCCGTGGGTGGGTGGAGCCCACACTCGTATTTGGAGGATACCCCAACTGGGAGAGGAGGCCCTCCCAGGCCAGCTCCTGCGCCCTGACAGTGGCAGTCTGCACCTCCCCTGCTGGGGTAGGGGGCCGGGGCTGGGCTTAGGAGGAGAGAATGGAGGAGGCTGCTCTGACTTCCCTGCCCTCCCCCCCCCCACCCTGCCAGGTGGGCCAATGGCTATAGTGAAGAGAAGACTCTGTGTGTCCCCCGAGATGCCCCTTTCCAGCTGGAGACCTGCCCCCTCACAGTTGTGGATGCCCTCGGTAACAGCCCCCATGGGTCCCCAGCTCCCCTCACTTTGCCTACCCAGGTGGGTGGGTGGGGGAACCTGGCAGGCAGCCTCAGCTGAGCAGTGTGTCCCACAGTCCTGCGCTTCTTCCTGGAATACCAGTGGTTCGTGGACTTTGCCGTGTACTCGGGTGGTGTGTACCTCTTCACAGAGGCCTATTACTATGTTTTGGGCCCGGCCAGGGAGACCAACATAGCTGTGTTTTGGTGTCTGCTTACCATCGCCTTCTCTGTGTATCCTTCCAGCTCTGGGCGGGGCAGGCGGGAGGCATGGGGGAATCTGACTGGGCTCCCTGTCTCCCCTGAATCGGCGATGGGTTTCGGACTGGTGTGACCCAAGCCTCCCCCAAACTCGGTGGGGCGAAGCAGGCGCTATTGCATTTGCTTTCCTGGGCCAGGCTCAGCAGGGTGGCTTCATCCCTGCTCCCAGCAGCGCTCCTCCTAGCAGGCTGGGCCGGGCCCCCACACCGCAGCCACAGAAAGGCAGCAAGGAGGACTGTGCGACAGGCCTCCCGAGGCTCCGCCCAAGCCAGCCCGCCACATCCCTGCCCGTTCTTAGGGCCAAAGCCAGTCTCCAGGCCTGCACAGATGCAGGGGCTGGGAAGGAGATGCCCCCGCTGCAATTTTTTCATTTTTTTATTTTTATTTTTTTGCAATTTTTAAAAAAGATTTTATTTTTAGACGGGAAGGGAGGGAGAAAGTGTGGGAGAGAAACATTAATGATTAATGTGTGGTTGCTTCTCACACTCCCCTACTGGGGATCTGGCCCCCAACCCAGACATGTGCCCTGACTGGGAATCAAGCCAGCAACCCCAGCAACCCTTTGGTTTGCAGGCCGGTACTCAATCGACTGAGCCACACCAGCCAGGGCATACTTTTTTGCAATTAAATAGAAATTTTTTTTATTTCTTGATTTTAGAGAGAGAGAGGAAGGGAGAGAGGAACATCAATTTGTTGTTCTGCTTATTTATGCATTTGTTGGTTGATTCTTATCTGTGCCCTGACTAGAGATTGAACCTGCAGCCTTGGCCTATCTGGACAACGCTCCAATCAACTGCATTATCCCACCAGGGCAATTTTTTTATTAAGCCATGCAGAGAGCAGAGATCAACCCGTGACTTTGGGTACGCAAGTAGGAGAAAATGCGCTTGTGGAGTGGGCTTGGGAAGAAGGGAAGCCCGTTCTGGGGTCCACAGTGTTCCTGAGAGCACTGGGGTCTCTTCGGGGCAGACTGGAGATACAGCCCTTGTATCTGCCAGCTTCTCAGAGGCACAGGCTGTGAAAGCAGCTGGGAGGCCGGGCGACCTCCTGAAGAGACTGGCTTGTTGGCCATTTCTAACTGGCCACACACAGCGCGATGAGCCAAGCTGGAGCCCGGGCCGGGCAGGCCTGCCCTGTGCGTGACCCCATGCCGCTGGCACAGGCGTGAGCAGCATCCTCACTTTGTGTCCTGGGCTTGTTTATCAGCTCACTCTTTGGCCACTCCCATGTTCCCCAGGACCCCAAACCTAAACATGGCATTTGTGTTCTGGATTTGGGGTGTCACTGGCTGGGGGTGGTGGAGTGGGCAGGGGCATCGCAGATGGGGGCCTCCTTAACTCTGCCGCCAGCAAGGTGTTCCTGACAGTGACTCGGCTGTACTTCGGCGCTGAGGGGGGCGGCGAGCGCTCAGTCTGCCTCACCTTCGCCTTCCTCTTCCTGCTCCTGGCCATGCTGGTGCAGGTGGTGCCGGAGGAGACCCTTGAGCTAGGCCTGGAGCCAGGTAGGTACGTCAGGGGTGTGGCGTGGACACCTGCCACTCCTTCCCGTAAGCTGGGTTGTTCCCCTGCACCTTGTAAGCAAAAGACATGACTCCTGGGGCCAGGCAGTCTCCCTGGGTTTCGGCCGCCCTGGGCATCCCCTTGGGCTTTGGGGACGAGAGGACATCTAGTCTCACTGTCTGACAGATGCGTGCGACTGTAGCTCCTCACAGGGCACTTCTGTTCCCCTCTAGTCTGTCCTCTACGCAGCAGCTTTTAATATTTACCTATTTTTGTTTAATTTGTGGGAGGAAATAGGTAATGGTACAAAATTTATAAAACACAAGGGGCTGCCGAGTGAAAATTGCCCTTCCGCACGGGCTCCCCTCCCCAGAGGAAACCCAGGCGCCACTTCCCCTTATTCACATAAAAAAGTAGGTCAGATTTCTCTACAGCTTGTCTTCCCTTAAAAGCAATAAATATTGGAGGTTGTGCCTTGATGTACGTACGGTACTGTTTCCTGTGACCGCTACATGGTATTTCATCTTTTTTTCTTTCTTTTAATGAAAATGGATAGTTAGGAGGAGGAGGGCTGGAATGCCCTGAAGGTTAAAATCTTGTCACCTTCCCTTGAGAACAAAACCTAAGGAGGGAATCAAGACGGCAACCGTAAAGGTCAAGTGGGAGGATAGTTTTATAGTTAAGACATTCATTCACAGGCCAGACTTCTTGGTCACCCAGTTAGTACTGAGGCCACGCTGTGCTGCAATAGAAAATCAAGCGCTTGGGCCTGAGGTCAGTAAGTCCCAGAGCTTTCAAGTTCTTAAGTAGACAACCCCATGAGGAGCCCTTAGGTGGGGTCGATGGAGTATTGGCCATGGTGAAAATGATCGCTGGTTGAAGGTTGGTGAAGAGGAGGCGGTTTGCAGAGTCTGGAGAGATGGAGAAGGATCAGAATCCCCTCTCCAAACCTCACAGAGACCGTGTTAGGGGATTGGTCCAGGCTGAGCTTCCACTGCCCACTGCCCACTGCTCCCTTAGTCGCAAGTCTCAGGAGGCCAGGGGAGAGGGAGAAATAGAGAACGTCCCTGTATGGGCCACAAAAACGTTAGGGTGGTCAGTGATGCGGTGTGTGAAAGAATTTACAAAGAGAAGAAAGTGTAGAAAGTAAAGATTTTACCCACTCTCCAAGAAGGGAGAGGGGCCTGGTGTGGAGAGACACACCAGCTGCTGTTTCATCCAGGGATGTTCTATTGATATTTAACCAGGCCCCATGCATGGACATTTAAGTCTTTTGCTATTAAATGTTGTTGCACAAAACCAAGTTGTTATATAACAATGTTGTTTGGGAATAGCTTTGTGCCTGTGGCCCTCTGCAAGTGTATTTGTAATTTTGATAATGTTGCAACGTGCCCTTCAGGAAAAGATGCATGCTCATGCCTATTTTCCCCACATCCTCTTCCGTGTGTTTCCTCAGACTTTTTCATCTTGGGTGATCAATGGATGAAAATGTAAGAGAGGCTGAGCATCTTTTTTATATGCTGAAGAGCTATTTCTCTCTCCCCTCCAGAAAAGGTCTGTTCTTTTGCCCAGTTTTCTACTGGGTTGTGACCCTTTTATTGATTTGTGGGAGCGCTTTCTATATTAAGGAAATTAGCCTTCGTGTATGATAGCAGTTGCAAATATTTTTTCTTAGTTCCTTATTTTTCTTTTGACTTTTTCTATTACTTGATTGATCTTTTAAAAATATAACGTGGACCATGTCGCTTCTCCACCTGACAGCAGGCTCTAATGGTCCTTGGATAAAGACCAAAACCCTCACTGTGGCTTACACAGCCCTTTTGATTCCTTGAGCTTTATCTTTACCAATTCTTCCCGCTTTTCTATTTTTAAAATGATATAATATTTGATATACATAAAAGAACACATATGTAAATTACAAAGCAAAATAGTAATATAAACACCCATGAACTCACTCCTTGAATAAGAACCGGCCCATTCCCAGCGTTCCTGTGTGTCTCTGGTGCTTCTTGACCCCGCCACCTTCCCCCATTCTCTGCCTCAACCAGCCTCAAACTGTGTGTTTGTCATTACTTTGCCTTTAAAAAAAAAACAACAGTTTCATCACATATGTTTCTGTCCCTAAAGAATTTATTGTTCGGTTTTACAATATGTAGTTATGTAGTCTTCCAGCCGTGCTTTGCTGTCTCTCTGCTATTGCTTCCAAAGTAGGTTGTGTTGTTTTTGGTGCCTTTAGTTCATCTCTTGTCACCATGAATGATGTGGTGAGACTCCACTCACCTCTGCGCCCTTTCTTCTGCGGATGGACATTTAGGTGGTCTCCAGAGTTTAGCTCTTTCACAGTTGCTACAGGGAACATTCTTGTGCATACTTCCTCATACACATGGACAGGTGTTTCTTTTGGACACAGACTTGGGGACCGTGGGGACATGTTTACCTTTACGAGATGGCGCCTCAGCATTTTCAGAGCAGTTTTCAGCACATCCACCGGCCATACAGCCTGGGATCTGCGACAAGGACGCAGGGTGCGGGCTGCCCACCGAGTCCCAGCTGGGCCTATGCCTGGGTGGCGGGCCTGGTCTCTGGGTGGGACATATGTGAGAGGCAACCGATCGATGTCTCTTTCCCTCTCCCTATAAATAAATAAAATCTTAAAAAAAAAAGATCTATGGCATCAGTCTAGTGACGTAGAATGATGCCTTCTGAGTCTTAACATGCATTTTCCTGGTTACCTGGGGGAGGGGCTGAGCCTCTTTTGCTGTTTCCTTTCTTTTCCTGTTTGTTCATGACACTCATTTTCCTCTTTTGTCAAAAGCCTGTTTGTATTGTTGCCCATTTTTCTTTCAAGGTGTGTGTGTGTGTGTGTGTGTGTGTGTGTGTGTGTGTGTTTAATTTTATTGTGGTAAAATACACATAACATTTACTATTTTAACCATTTTTAAAAACCATTTTAAAGGGTACAGTTCAGTGGTATAAAGCCCATTCACAATGCTATATGACCATTCCCACCACCCATAGAACTTTTTAATTTTGCAAAACTGAAAAACTGAAACTCTCTCCCCACTAAGTGTGTATCCTGATACCGTATGATCTATTTCCCATCTCAAGGCGATCATGCATAAAATTAGATTAAATGTAAAAAGAAAAGTGTATTGAGGAATTAAATTCTCAATTTGTGGTGTGTCTTTTCACTGTCTTTGTATTTTTTCCTTTAAACATTTTTTTCTCCAACAGAGAAGCTGACAAAGCTCTAATGACCTCATATGCTCTTGACCCAGATCATTTGACCACGTATGCATTATTTTCTCTGCACACACACACCATGCTTATTTTGGCCGAGCCTTTGAACATAGTTGCTGCCATCACTTCTGGTGTCTTTTGATGAACAGAAGTTTTCCTTTCTGTTCCCTATGATCACAAAGACGGTTTATATTTTCTTCCAGAACATTTCAAGTTTCCTCAAGCCCTTAAACTTCTGGGAGTTCACTTTTCTGTTATGAATAGGGATCACACTGATTTTTTTCCAGGGAAAAATCTTGATAAACAATTGCATTTTTAGTGAATTGTGGATTCAATTCAGCTTTCTTTCATTCTTTCCAATCCTTCTCCTTTTATGTGGCTGGAACTTGTGGATTTTAGAGCAGTACTCTGATAGATTTCTTTTTCTTGTTTCAGTTTCTTAGTTGACTAATTAATTCATTAATTTTCAGCCTCTTTATAGCAGTTAAGGTTATAAATATTTTCTAAATCCCACTTCTGTCTATGCCTAAGTTGTGTCTTCATTATCATGCAATTCTGGGTATTTTATGTTTCCATTATGAGTTCTTTTTTAACCTTTTTTAAAAACTTCAAACATGGAACTCGTAAGAAAATCTTATTTATTTTTAGCTTAGTTACACTGTGGTTACAGAGGATGGTCTACCTGAAACATAAAAAATTATTTTCAGAGAGCGTAAAGGAGCGAGAGAAACATCAATGTTTGGTTGCCCCTTGCACACTCCCTACTGGGGACCTGGCCCGCAAGCCAGGCATGTGCCCTGACTGGGAATTGAACCAGTGACTCTTTGGTTCACAGGCCAGCGCTCAATCCACTGAGCCACACCAGCCAGGGCAGAAATTTTTTTTTTTCAGATTTTATTTATTTACTTTTGGAGAGGGGAAGGAAGGGGGAAGACAGGGAGAGAAACATTAATGTGTGGTTGCCTCTTGAGCGCCCCCTACTGGGGACCTAGCCTGCAACCCAGGCATGTGCTCTGACTAGGAATCGAACCAGCAACCCTTTGGTTCACAGGCTGGCACTCAATCCATGGAGCCACACCAGCCAGGGTGAAAGAAATTCTTGAATATTTGTTAAGACTTGGCTTACGGCCTAGAATGTGATCACTTTCTGTGACTATTCCATGTGTTCTTGAAGAACATATATTCACTACCTCTCTATGTGCAATACATTTAAATCTCCCTCTGGGATAGAGGTCTCAGTATCTCTAGGTTGTTCTGTTAGTGTTTTTCTAATCTATATTGAGGCAAATTGACAAGGTGTTTACAAGTTTAGAATTGCTATATTTTCCTGGTGAATCAACTGTTTTGTCATGGTGTATTGACCCTCTCTGATTCTAATAACACTTTAGTCTTAATCTAGTTTGTATATTTTTAATACAGCCTTTCCAGTTTTCTTTTGATTAGTATTTGTTACGCCTTTTTAATATTTCTTTTCTTTCAACCTTCCAGTAACCTCATGTTGAGGTATGTCTCTAAAAAACATGCCGCTGGACCTTTTCAGTCAAGTCTGACAGTCTATGTTGTTTATAACTTCGACGTTTAATTTGTTTATGTTTATTGAGATTAGACATATTTGTCCTTGTTTCTGCCATTTCATTTTTTTACTTTGTATTTGTTCCTTGTCTGTTGTTACTGTTGACACTGGCTGTCAGCCTAATTGTTCTTCCTTTATAGGGGGGTCTGTCTTAACTCCCTGGCTGCTTTGTGGTCTCTTTGTCTTTGGTATTCTGGAACTTCACCAGTATGTGTTGGTACAGATCTCTTTGCATTTGTCTGGTTTGATGTCCTTTGTGTGTGGCGTCCATTCTGCAGACTTCTCAGCTATTCTCTTGCAATACCCCCTATCCTCTTTCATTCTCTCTCTCCCCTTTTGGGGCTCTGACTTGATTTTTCCTGGACTTTAACTCTGTCCCCCTTCTCTCTCCATCTCCGTTCACATTCCCCACCTTCCTGTCTTTCTGGGTTGGAAGCTGAGTGATTGCTTCCAGTCCAATTCATGAATTCCTCCTTGGCTGTTTCTAATTTACTGTTTAATAACCTATGATTTCAGTAATTATATTTTCCTTTTGGAAGAGCTTAATTGGCTTCTTTGCAAATCTATGCGATCATCTGAGGTAGTCTTGTGTCACCTGTTCTGTGATTCCAGCTTTTATTTTCCTCAGTCATTTCATACATAATAGATAACACCCATTTCTGAAGTCCTCTGGGGTCTAAACTTGTCTTTTGCTTTTTCTACTGACTCTCTGGTGATTTGTTTCCTTGTAGGTTTGGTGATTTTGGCTTTGAGTTCATATTTACATGCTTTTTTAAAAAAAAATATCTTATTTATTTTTAGAGAGGGGAAGGAAAAGAGAGAGTGACAAAAACATCAATGTGTGATTGCCTCTTATGTGCCCCCTACTGGGGACCTGGCCTGCAACCCAGGCATGTGCCCTGACTGGGAATCGAACCAGTGACCCCCTTGCTTCGCAGTCCAGCCCTCAATCCACTGAGCCACACCAGCCAGGGCTACTTGTGTTTGCTCTGTGGAAAATCTGGGGGCCTAAACTGAGGGTTTCTCCCAGGACTCTAATTTTCTCCTGTGGGAGTCCTTTATGCCCTCCCGATTCCTGGTGTGACCCTGTAAGCTCCTATTCAGTGCTCCCTTCCCTGTGTCCCCCAGTCCAGTCAAGGGTCTGCCTGGCACATTCTCCTGTCCTTTGAAAAGAGCCACACATCACTAGAGCACTAAAGCCCCTGCCATGGGGCCTGGCTGCCACCAGCGTGTTCCTACCTGGGAAGCAAAGGACACCTTGGAGGGGGTGCAGAGAAGGCTCTGAGACTCGCGGAGTCTGCTCTATGCCATGCTTCTCCTTGTCTTCCCTAGGCCTGGCCAGTGTGACCCAGAACTTGGAGCCACTTCTGAAGACACAGGGCTGGGACTGGGTGTAAGTCCTGGGGAGGAAGAGGGGCAGGGGCAGGCTGTGGCCTGCTGGCAGGGGCTGCCTGGCTGTGGGGTTCCCTGACCCACCTTTCCTTCCCAGGCTTCCTCTGGTCAAGCTGGCCATCCGCGTGGGGCTGGCGCTCCTAGGCTCCACGCTGGGCGCCTTCCTCACCTTCCCAGGCCTGCGGCTGGCTCAGACCCACCGAGATGCACTGACCATGTCAGATGACAGGCCCTTGCTGCAGTTAAGCTGGGGGCTGGGTGGATGGGAGGTCTGGGGGCCTAGGGGAGAGGAAGGGGAGATGGTAAGTGCCCAGGCCTCACCCTGCTGTGTCCTTGCCCCCAGGCTTCTCCTGCACATGAGCTTCCTGTCACCCCTGTTCATCCTGTGGCTCTGGACCAAGCCCATTGCACGCAACTTCCTGCGTCAGGCACCCATTGGGCGCACATCTGTCTCCCTGTGCGTGTGTGGGTGGGGCCAGGAGGGAGGGCAGCTGGGGGGACCCCTCTGTGTACTCCAGCCTCTGAGGCTCAGGGAGGAGCCGTGAGAGAGCTGTGGGTCCTGTGGGGGAGATCCTGGGACAACGGGGAGGCCTCATCAGCCCCCTCTACTGTGCAGGCTGTCAGACTCGGCCTTTGACTCACTGCGCCTCTGGGTGCTGGTGGCACTGTGCCTGCTGCGGCTGGCAGTGACCCGGCCCCACCTGCAGGCCTACCTGTGCCTGGCCAAGGGCCGCGTGGAGCAGCTGCGGCGGGAGGCTGGCTGCATCGAGGCCTGCGAGATCCAGCGGCGGGTATGGGGGCCTGGAGGAGGGAACCTGGGGTGCAGGGCCAGCCTTCCAGTCCTCCCAGGCACGGGGCCAGCCGGAATCCAGAAGGTCACATGCCACTGCTACCTGCCCACCAGGTGGTACGGGTCTACTGCTACCTGACGGTGGTGAGCCTGCAGTACCTGACGCCGGTCATCCTCACCCTCAACTGCACGCTTCTGCTCAAGACGTTGGGTGAGAGGGAGCGGCCTCGTGGGCTGAGGGCGGGCTGCAGGTCCCTGAAGCAATCCTGGCTTCAGCCCCCCTCCCTCTTTCCTTCCCTCCACTCCTCATCCTCCTGCCCCTCCATCCCTCCACTCCTTCCTCCATCCCCGCCCTGCACGCCCCTCCCTCCACCCATCCCTCCCTCTGCTTACCTCACTCTCCTCGCTTCTCACAGGGGGCTACTCTTGGGGCCTGGGCCCGGCCCTCCCACTATCCCCAGTGCCGACAGCGGCCCGAGGTGGCCCAGTGGGCCCCCAGGAGGACGAGGCCCAGCAGGCGGCGGCCCGGATCACCGGGGCCCTGGGTGGCCTGCTCACGCCCCTCTTCCTCCGTGGCGTCCTGGCCTTCCTCACCTGGTGGACTGCGGCCTGCCAGCTGCTTTCCAGCCTCTTCGGCCTCTACTTCCACCAGCACCTGGCAGGCTCCTAGCCCCTCGAAGACACTTCTGGGGCCCCATGCTCACCCCCCTGTGTGTGCCTCAACATCCCCAGGTGCAAGTGGGCCTGGGAGTCCCCGCTGTGCTCGCCTCTTCACTGCAGTGCCTGCGCAGGCTCTCCTTGGACCCTGAGCTTCTGCCTCAAAACTATATCCTGATACGGGGCCAGAGGGTCCCACGGCCATTGTTCCTGGATTGCGTGTGGACATTCATGTTTGACAGCAGAGCAAGGGGCCCCTCTTCTGCATAACGGGAAGCATTTTACAAAAAGGGAAACACAGGGAGATGGGGGGGTGGGGAGCCCGCATGCCGGGCCAGGCGACAGCGGCTTCTGCCCTCTGCTGCAGGTACACGGGACCGCTCTCCTGGAAAGGTCACACACAGGCAGTGGGCACATTGCTGAGGCCACAGTGACCCAGGGGAAAGAGAATGAGGGGCCTTCTTTGACTCCAGATTTTTCCTGTCACTGTGGCCGCAGTAGGAGCCGTGCGTGCGTGCGTGCGTGCGTGCGTGCGTGCGTAAAAGAACATATGTATGGCTAGAAAGCCAAAATTCAACTGAGTAAATTTTAATGATTTTAATTGGCTTCATTCAATGACTCCTGAATCAGGCAGCATCCTATGCTTTTGTTAAGTGGCTAAATATGAAAAGTGTATTAAAAACAAGGGTTAAAACTTGGCTTGCGGCAAACTAAACACATCATCCAATTTTAATCCGTCTCAAATCTCTAAGTACAGAGGCTGCAGTACACTGTGGAAGGTGGATTTCAGGGAGGAAGAACAATCGACTGTCAAATCCTCAGGCCAGGAAGCAGCCTGCCTTACCCGTTGGATCTTCCAGAGGCACTGAACACACCAGGTCCTGACAGGCCAGGCTGCGGGTGGCAGTGAGACGTGGAGGCTGCTGACGGGGAAGCTGTTTGGAAAGTTCTCGGGTGCTTGTGTTCCTCTCACCGCTGCACAGCCTCGAGGGGAGCCCGGCTTGGTGGGGAGGGTGGTGGCAAATGGGGTTAGATGGTGACACACAATGACTGCCGAATGGAGAGCGCCACTCTACCTCGCCCTGCCTGCAGAACCCAGAACCTTCCAGGCAGGAGACCCAAGACCCCTGGGGAATCCAGCTGGTCCGAGAAGGCCCTAATGACAGTGGCACCACAGAGTTCCCATCAGCCACCAGCTTAGCCGTGAGTCCATGTGTGCCCCACACTCATTTGCTCTTCCAGTCTGCTTGTCTCAGTTCTTATTCTTCGTTGGGAGCAGACAACCAGGAGTATCCAGGGATCTGAGGAAGCGTCCAGAGTGGAGGACAGACCCAAACAAACACAAAAAAAAACAATTTTGTGAAATTGACTCCTCAGGGAGAAGAGAACTTTAAAAAAAAGTCCAGAATGTTCTCATAGAAAAGAAATTGTATTCATGAAACCAAAACAATGTTACTAAAAAGAGACATCTGAGGAACGTTTAATTTTCTTTTTGAGCTCTTAGGGATTAAAAGCGAAAGGAAGGTAAAATTGTAGAAATCTTACAGAAGGAAGAACAAGATGAAAGATATGCAAAACAAGAACCGATCAAGAGGAAATTAGAAGGCTGGCTCAGAGGAAGAATCTTCGAAGTAGAGTTCTGGCAGGGGAGATCAAGTAAGCACTGGGAGGTGCTCCGTGGAATAACACGAAGCGGACTCCCCTGGACCGGGAAGTTCCAGGGCCTGATGCTGGGTGACGAGAGCCCCGTCCCGACGCACGTCTCTGGGAAGTTCGGAACAAAGACCAGCTCCCAGTGAGGACAGAACAGGCCAGGCTAGTAGCCCAGGAACCAGAAGTTGATGGAGTGGCATCTCCCAGCTCCGCAGGACCTGCACTATCCCTGGGCACTTCAGGAGTCACCAGGGACTCCCCGTCAGCTGACACCTAGGAGCCCCCGAGCCCACTGGGCAGAGCTCTTCCCACAGCGGCGCCTCAGGCTGCCTTGGCCCCTCGCTGGTTCCCCCACGGCTGTGCGTCCTCTCTGCTTTGGAGCCCAAGACTGCGTGGTTTAGGGAGACATAGGAAGGTGGAAATGCCACGGACAAGGCAGTGACTGTCTCAGACAGCAGGCACACGGGGGCACAGTGCTCGTGGGGCGGCCATGGCGGGAAGAACCAGTGGCAGTTACAGCCTTCGCTGTCTGGCATCACACCACGTAGACATTTACAGACTTGGTGGCACATTTCACACACACACAAAGGAAGGTAATAATGAGAGAAAAATAAGGTTGAACCACAGTGAGAGAAAAACAGGGAAGCTGGAAGGTGGTGGTAAAAATCCTTTGTTGACATGTCAGCAGCAATTACCACATACTGGTACTGCTCACAGTGACACTCGTCGATGTCTAGAGACATTTCTGATTGTCACAACAGGAGTGGGTGGCCAGGGATGCTGCTCAACACCCCACAGTGCCCAGGACAGTCCCCCACACAGAACAGCCTGGCCCCAGACACCAGTAGCGCTGAGGCTGAGAAATGCTACATCCCAAGAAACAGACTTATTTCCAAACCAGCTGAAGAAAAGGAGGCAGATTTGAAAACCAAAAAAATCCCCATAAGAAATCAAACCTTTAACTCAAGAGAAGTCAGCCAAGGGGAAAACTAGTATAAAGACCGGACCCCACAAACTGAAACAGGACCTGGGTCGTGCCCGCATGCGTCTGCAGCAACCTCACTTTGTCAAGTCCTCCAGCCTCCTGCTCTCGCTGTCCCCACCCCAGCAGTCACTGCCCTGTCACCACCCGCCTCCCTGGTTGCCCCTGCAGCTCCCCTCGCTCCCACCCTGCAGGCTCCTGTCTCCTTCCTCCCCTCCTCCCCATCCTTACGCGTTTGCCAGCAAATCCTAGCGTCAGTTCTGCGGCCCTTGGCCGCTAGGGCAGCTTGGCCAGCATGCCCAGCACTCTCGACCTTCCCTCCCTCACATCAGCTCCATCTTTTCTGTTACCTTTCTCTTTCTCCTCATACCCAGCCTATAGGGACCCCTGTCTGCAACACCTTAAAAGCCACCATGACCCAAATATTCACCCTGCCACCACCCTGCTCAGCGTATGACGGCTTGTTCCCTTGCACACCACTCTGCCCGGTGGCCAGAAAGGGGCTTGTGAGAGACTCCATTCCCTAACTGAGGAGCTGCCTCGATTCAGGAGCACGGCGGCTTTGAAGGGCGCCCAGCTCCTGAGAGAAAAACCCAGACTCCCTGCCACGCAGACTTGGCTAGAACAGGGCTGGGAGAAGCAAACTGGGCCACGACTTAGAGAAGGACCAATTTGCCAGTGGCTTCGTTCGTTCTGGCTGCTCTAACAATGCCATAGGCTGGGTGGCTGACAAAGGAAATTGATTTCTCACTGTCTTGGAGGCTGAAAGTCCAATATCAGGGCCTGGGCATGGCCAGGAGAGGACCCGCTTCTAGGCTTGGATGCCACTTCCCGTACAGTGGAGGATAGGGAGGAGAGCCAGCAATTCAGCGTGACTCTTGTAAGGGCACCAATGCCATTGTTGGGGTCGCACCCTTCCGACCTCATCTGCCCTCAAGCACCTCCCCAAGCCTCACTTCCTAACACTGCCATGTTGGCTTTAGGTTTCAACATAGGGACTTTGGGAGCTGGGGGAGACATTGGTCCATGCCAGCCCGCCCAGGAGGTAAAATAGCCAGGACCCGGGGCCCCCACAAAGTCACGGAAAACAACACTTAAGCTGAGAAGGCAGAAGAGTCATAACCAAGGCAAAGACAGTAAGATCTTCATGGAACACTAGGTACCATCAGAAGGCATCAGGAGGCAACAATTTCCTAGGAAGACGCAAATGAGGGACTTGAGCCCGAGTCTGGCCTCCCAGGTTGAAGGCAGGTGCCCGGGTTGGGCCCTGGGGAGCTCTTGGTCCCCCCTTACCCAGAGTCCTCTGGACCCTCAGCCCACACACCTTGCATCCACCCCCTGCTCAGACCCCAGCTTGGCTCCCGGCCTGAGCTCCCCTCCGCCTTCCCTCGGCTGCTCCAACACCCTTCATGGCTCCCCAGTGCCAAGCTCAGGGCTGCTGCCCGACACCCGCCCAGCAGGGAACTCCCGGCCTCGGGGCTTTGCCCAGTACCCCGGGTGGGGTCTCTCCTTCCCTCAGCGGCCCTCCAGGGTTCCCGCCTGCCTCCCCTGGGCTCCACAGCATATTTTTTATGCTTCGCATCAAGAGCCAGAGCAGCATCACCCACCATGCTGCCCGCCTCAAGAAGAGCCCCCTGGGGTAGACGCAAGTCTGGGAACCTTGATGCACCCCTCCCTGGAGGTGCACGAGGCCCACTGCACACGGGGACTGGGGGGCAGTTGCGTGAAGAAGCTGCGGCCACTTCTCTCCAGTGTGTCAGTGTCACACCCGCTGCTGCCCTGCTGGGACACAGAAGCATGAAAGGCAAGATTCCTGCTCACGTCACCCGAGACCATCTTGCCTCAACTACCAAGCCTGCTGTCCTGGGCTGCGGTGTACAGGATGCTTAGGAGGAGAGAAGTAAATGGCCAACAGTCATGAAGAGACATCCAGCCTCTCAAGGGATCGCAGGAAGATGTGACTTAAATAGCAAGGAGGTGCCACGGGGCACCCCCACACAGGGAGTCAGGCTGCCAGCCAGGGTGTGGCCTGAACCCTGCGCGATGCCCGTGGGCACCTCAGTTCACACAGCTGCGCTGCGGAGCACTCTCGCGCTACCTGGAACAGGTGGGTCCCCAGCTCACAGCCTGCTGGTCCCTCAGGGACACATCGTGGGAGATTCTCACCTGGGGGTGCAGGAGCCACGGTGGCAGTCACAGCGTCATTTCTGAAATCAAAAAGCTGGCCCAGGAATGAGTGAGTAAATGGGGTTAAATAGTAAATAAGTAAATACGACGTCACTCACCACCTGCATACAAGATGCTCACACCTTGCCTCTGGGTGGCGTGCCCTACGTGCTACGGCCACTGTGAGGCCTCTGGTGGCTTCACCCTCCTGCATTTGAAAACAGCAACACTCGCACCCAAGGCCACATCCAGCCGAGGAGTGGAGCCCCCAGCACAGGACAGACGGTGCAGGAGAGAGAAACCACAGGCCTCTGGGGCCGTCCTTGCTGAGCAGGATGCGGTCCATCCTGACTGACGTCCCCAGTGTGTAGGCCACGAGGTCTCCGAAGGACCACAGTGAGCTGGCAACAGGGATGCCCCTGCAGGAGGACCTGGGGGACCCTCCTCCTTGGTTAACCCTTTCATGAAGTTTGCGTTTTCTAGAAAATTATAGTATTAATTAACAATTCAAACGATTACATTTTTTAAAAGTTTTATTCATGACTTCATTCAAAAATCTGTCAAAATAACCTGAACCCTGTTTTTGGTTCCTGGCAGAGCCTAAGAAAAGAGACATGGGCAGGAAGAAAAGTCATTTTAATTTTTATTAAATATACTCTCTTGGCACAAATCTTTAAAATATATAAACATTATATATAAACAAAGTGTCTTCATGGCATCAAAATAACTCCAGACCAGGACAGGCAGCCGGTGGGGAGGGGTGTGGCCGCGGAGGGTGCCGGTCCGGCCCTGTGCGGGGGTTGGGAGAGTGGTGATGGCGCGGGAGAGGCCTAGGAGCTGGGAGCCACCTCGGGGAGGCACAAGGGCCAGCAGGACCCTCCTGCTGCCGCCCAGCCTGCAGCTCAGAGGAGGGTGCTGCCCAACCAGCCACCTGGCCTCACCCGCCTGGGGTGGGCCCTAGTTCCTGGTGCTCTCTCTCGGGCCCGGGGCCTGGGGCCTCCATCCTGCCCCCTGTGAGGCATGCCCCTGCCTCTCCCGGGCACCGGGCAGCGGTAAGACACGCAATGGGAGAGCATCACAGGCTGCTCGAGCCCCTGGGGCAAGAGGCTGGGAATGACGCTGGGGCTGGCCGGCGGGCACATGCAGGCAAGGGCGCCCCGCGGGCCCAAGGCAAGAAGAGACGTGGAACTGAACAAAGAAATCAGAGTCGTGACGGGAAACGCGTGTGAGGCAAGCACACAGGTCATTTTACACACTGTAGGGCTGAGCCAACCTTGTCCTGAAACCAGATTGCGCTGGTTAGGCACAGGGTCGGCCAAATTTTAAAACCATAGTCAAGAATCTCCAAACATCATTAGGGAATGGGTGTTTCTGAGTCCCTGTGACACAGAGGGGACCCAGGAACTTCTCTGTAAGACCAGCTCCCTGGGGGTGTCCCGTGGTACCTCGACTCTCCTGAGCTGCCCACCGCGGGCCACACTGACACAGGCTTCCATCTGGGGAGGATCAAGGCTGCCAGCTGCCTCCATGCATTCCGTTCATGGGAATCAGACAACCCCGTAGGCCTTAAATAGCCCCACATCCAGGCCAAACACCCGCTCGGGTGGGGAGCCAAGATGTGCCAGCTGCTGGGGGTCCCCCCAAAAGCCGACCGGTGCCTGTGGGCCAAGGGGTAGGGCCCGAGGCCCCGCCTCTGGGTGCGGCTGTGGGGTGCCCTGCAGCGGGGAAGACTGGCTCCAGACCCACCAGGGCCTGGAGTCAGGACCAGGGTAACACTCAGGGAAGGCTGCTCCCCAGCGGAAGGCTTTGGGAACTGGGGAGTCATGTCCCCTGGGAAATAAAGGCAAGACAGTGGTGGGGGGCGGGGAGGGGTAACAGGCTGCATTTGTAGCCAAAGCTGAGTAGGAGGCTGGTCCCTTCGTGGACAGGCAAGGCAGGCCTCTCCCACTCTCTGGCTCCTCTGCTCCGCACACAGACTGGGCCAACAAGGGGCAGGCAGAGCCTGGCTCTGAGCCCAGTGGGGACAGTCACAAGAACCAGGAGCATGTCCAAGGGCACAGAGTGCCAGGAGCTGGCGCTGGTCACTCTGGCGTCAGGGTGTGGGGGGGCCACCTCTGGGAGGCAGAGCCAGCCCCACGGAGGAGGAAGAGGAAAGGTGGGGTGCTCAGTTGCTCCAACACTGCACTTCAAGGGCCTCCGGCTTTCCCGTGGACCCATGGGCGCCAATCCCATGCCCCCTGGCCCACCTGCTTGTTCCACAAGGTGCTCCCACGTGGCTCTGGGGCAGGGCCAAGTGTCCCCTCACTCCCCAGTCTCCCAAACAGTAGGGGTCAGCGGTCCTCCCTGTGCTGGAGCTGGGCTCCCTATCTCGAGAGCCACCAAGTGCGAGTCCCTAGCTCTGCAGGCGCCGCAGTAGGATCTGCATGAGGTCAAAGGTGGTGAAGCTGATGCCCACGGCGATGGGGCCCTTGAGCCAGTTCATGCTCAGGCCCTTGTAGAGGCCACGTACTGCGCCCTCCTCTCGCACAATGGCGCGCAGGGTGCAGGCGATGGAGGCGTGTGGGTGGCCTGTGACGCCCGCTGTCTGCATGCGCCTACGCACCACGTCCAGTGGATATGAGGCCGACTGCCCTATGATGCCTGCGCAGGCCCCGAAGATCATGCGCTCGAAGGGGTAGGGCTGCCGGTGGCCGCTGTATTCTGCAGGGAGGGTGGGGGGGGGGGCGGTGCTGTGAAGGCGCCGCAGGAGCGTACCCCGCACCCACAGGTGCACCTGGCACCCACACACACTGGTACTGTGTTGCCCCTGTGCCTTCCCACTTGGGCCACTTCCTTACCTCCTGGTCATTTATTTTTTTTAAGCTGAGAAATACACACACACACACACACACTTTAGGACAAAAACACGAGTCATGTAACGAAGTTCAAAGACCCAGAATGAGCCCCCATTGAGTTATTCTTGCTTTCCCCCTAGGAAAGATACCACCCACCACCCACCCCTCCCTCCCTGGCGCAGTGCCCCATGCAGGGCCTTGACATCAAACACAGAACACTGAGCGCCCAGCACTGATTCCTGAGTCCAGAGGGACCAAGGAAGTGAAACCCATCACCAAGGGTTCTCCAAACATGTGCTGTAAATTTAACTAGGAATGAAAAATGGAGAGACACCATTGTTCACTCCCCACATTGGAAGATCATTAAGTAACCTGACAGCGCCACTTCGGGTGAATGTGGGAACAGGGCCCCAGGGCAAGAGCAGCATCCAAAAGAATAAAACCAAAGACAGGGTCTCACACCCCTGAAGGAGACACTCCTGGATGTCCACTGATCACAGGAAATCTGCCAATGGCCTAAGTGCCCCTCCCCTTACTGTGGGGGGCGGGGAGGCCAATCCAGGCCTAAAGGGATGAGCTGCAGGCGTGTGGACCTCCCACAGCATGGACTCAATACCGGCTGAGGCAGAGCTGCACTACCCAGAGGTGTGGGAGGTGACTCAACTCTTTACTCTTTATAACCAGGAAGCAAGACAAGGCATTTTTCCTGCCACATACAAGCCCACAAGTATTCCCAACCGCGGAGAGGAAGCAGCCAGCGCTTGGCCGAGGGGTGGTTATAGCGTTCTCTATACTTTTCAAATCTCTCAGAATTATCAGAACACAAGAGGGCACTCCCCCCCGCTCCATCTACGTCACCCTTAAGCTTTGTGCAGGTGCCTGTGGTTGCACAAGTGGCCGCCCACACTCTGGGCAACACACTGGACTATACAAGGTTGCTCTTAAAACTAGGTATTAAAGGTCATGAGTCTGGGTTCCTCAGGGGTGGACTGATGTCATGTGTCTTCTCTTGATTTGGACCCTGAGCCCCCAGCCTGCCTGGCCCTATGTGCCTGGCCTCCAGGTCTGCGTGACCCCTGGGCACTGCCCGCCCCCTCCTCACCTCTGTGCAGGCTCTTGAGTGTCTCATATGTGAAGAAGCTCAGCCCAGCATAGGGGATGACCCCCAGCACGGTGGGCGTGAAGCCATGGTAGAGGGTCTTCAGCCCTTCCTCCCGGGAGATGCGGATGAAGACTTGAAAGATGTTGCTGTACCTGCCAGGACAGAGGGACGGTGGGCGGGCGGAGGACTCTGCCCAGGGAGCCACCCCTGGCCTCCATCCCGAATTCTCTGCTCCTTCTCCACTGTGGGGGTGGGGGGCCTGGACACTGGCAATCTCTTTCTTCGAGGAACAGAACCACGCCACGAGAGCTTTGCCGTTAGAAGCAGAAGTGGGTGCCCAGGGCCACGCTCTGACTTCACCACTGGGATCATCTGGGTGCTCAGCTCTCGCCTATCATTCCTATATATTTTTAATGCATCTGTAACTAACTCAAAGTGAAGACTCTAGTTTGATGGAAGCAGAACTGATGCCCAGGCTTAGGGAACTTTCTGGACCAGCTGCAGAATGGCATGCCTGGCCTGCCCTGCCCTGTGGTATCAGGCAGGGTCCACGTGGCAGTGTTGACAATACAGCTTCCTCTGTGGGCTGGATGCAGAGGCCCAGGGTTGCGATGAAGGGATTCAACCGGGGGGCCCCACTGGACACAGTCCCTGGTGCTGGTGAGGGTCACCGTGGTAGGACTCACATTTCCTTTGGGGTCACGGCCATGCGGGCTCGGACCAGGTCCAGGGGGTAGGTAATTGAAGCAGCTGTGGTTCCAGCAAGTGCCCCTGCGAGGAGACGAGGCCAAGGGGGCAGGGCTCTGGAAGGGGAAAGGGGTGAGGAGAGGCGGTGAGACCCCCAAGGCCCGAAGGAGGGAGGCCCAGCCCAAGGCCCACAGGTCTCAGTGTGCTGGAACCGGGGTCGGGTGGGTTGGCTTCCTGGTAACTGAGCTGATGGGTGGGGTCTCTTGGTGGACGAGTCAGTCAATGAATGATAGGGACTTTCCCTTGCAGCCCTCCGGGGACTTGGGTTCTGACATGGTGAGCATGTGAAAAGAAGACAGGAAAGCAGGCCCTGACTAGTGTGGATCAGTTGGCTGGGCACTGTCCTGCAAAATGGAAGGTCGCTGGTTCAATTCCCAGCCAGGGCACATGCTTAGGTTGTGGCCACATCCCTGGTCAGGACGCATGCAAGAACCAAACGGTTGATGTTTCACACATCAATGTTTCTCATCCTCTCTTCCTCCCTCCCTTCCTCTCTCAGAATAAATAAATAAAATCTTAAAAAAAAAAAAAAAGGAGAGCAGGGGCACAGGAGAGAGCTGAGAGGGGTTGGGGGGTGCTCACTCTCCGTGGAAGCCGTAGTAGCGGCCCAGGACTCGCTTGTACTCTTCGTGCGCACTGAACTGGATGGCAGCGTAGGGCACCACGCGCACCATAGTGGCCGAGTTCCCACGCCACAGGCTGAGGAAGCCCTCGTTGAGGTAGGTGAAGTAGAGCAGCCGGAGAGCCTCCTGGAGGGCGGACAAGGTCAATGCCTCCACGTGCCTCTTTCCCACTCTGCCTGCCCTTTCCCTTCCCCGCTCCGTGAACCACCTACCTCACTTTATTTTGTCCAGCCCTGTCCTGGGGCCCCACCTTACCCCCACATTCTCTGCCCATCCCCAGTCCCTTGACCTGGGAACTGTAAAGTGACCAGGTTTGCAAAGCAGGCTCAGAGCCCCGCACAGAGGTGCCTAATTGATGTCTGTCTGGTAGTCTAGCTTTTAAAAATATTCTTCTTTTCTTTATTAAGTAACACTTTCTCTGTGTTCAAAAATAAATCAAATGTGAAAACATTGGTTTGTAATGTCAAGTCCCCTCAGCACCGCCCCAAGGGTAGGTGCTCTCCTGTCAGCTCCCAGGGTGGGCTTTGTCCAGGCAGAGCTCAGAGCGCCAGGACAGGACTGAGGGGGACCTTGGTCACCCAGGCTCCTGGAGGGACCCAAAGGCGAAAAGCCTCTCCCGACTTCCCCCACCCCAGGCTGCCATGCCACCTGCCAGCCCAGCAGGGCAGCTGCTGCCAGTCCCAGGGCCAGGAGCTGGTGACCTAGTGGCTCACCTTGGCAGAAAATCTTTTTGAAGACACTGGAAAAAACAACACATACACACACACACACACACACAACACAGACCATTAGATGCGAAGGACAGGACCCCCCACAAGTCTGCGTGACCCCATTGCAGGACACTGGTCTGAGCTAGGGAATGACAGCAGCACCTGAGAACGCTCCCCCACCAAAGGGCTGAGAGAACAGTGTCCTGAGCACGGTCACTCTCCTCCCAGGAACCTCCTCACCCCCTGTACCTGGCCCTCTGCTTGCCAGCTTGACCCCAGGAAGGGGGATGAGCTGCCATCTGACTCCCAGGATCTGCCCAGGGGCCTGTGGGAGAACGTGCCTTGGGAGGTCGACACTCAGCACCCCCACCCAGCCAAACTCCTTTGAGAGAGGTGTCACAGCCGCCAGCTGTGGAGATCAGTCCAAAGGCTCCAGCTCCCCCAAGACAAGGCCGGGAGGTCTGTCTGGGTCTGCCCTCTCTTCTCAATGGCCCGGCCAGGCGCCCCATCCTGCCCTCACCTCCTCCCTAGCTGCCCGGCTGCACTGTCACCAAGGGCTGGAGCCACAGTGGCCACAGGGATCCAGAGACACAGATCATGAGGGCTTTCGGTCTTGCAGCCTCTCCCTTCTTGCTTCCTGAGCCTCTGCTATGTTCCCGGGACACCCCTGCACTCTCGTGTGCACGGACGTGTGTACACACATACTGCCTTCTGAGTTACACGCAGCTCCCTGCAGGGCACTACACTTCAAGTTTGCCAGCTAAACATGCAGCTGACATGGGGAACGAACACAGGGGAGCTTGGCCTCATGCCTGCCCTTCACACAGCCCCTGGAGCGGAGGTTGATGTTACTGTCCTCATTGTATAGATAAGGACACTGAGGCACAGAGACGCTAAGGGACCAGCTCAAGGCACTGGGGGGAACTTTCCTCCCAAACAGCTGGGCAATGGGGGCCTGGGTGGGGACCATGCTCCTGCCTGGCACCGAGCAGGCACTGGCCACTGTCGGCAGGATGGAAAGGACTCATCTTCAGGGGGTCCTGGGCCTGCTTAACCCTAAGGAGAGAATTAGTTTCTTGAACTGAACCCCCCCAAAAAACCTGTCCATGTCTTCACCCCCCGTACCTATGACTGACTGTAAGCAGAAACGGGGCTTGTGCATATATCATTGAATTAAACTGAGGTGGTACTGGAGTGGGCCTAACCCTCATCTAATGTGTGCCTTGTAAGACAAGGGGAGGACCCAGGCATAGAAGGGAAGCAGAGGCTGGGGTGACGCAGCCACAGCCAGGGATGCCTGGAGCCCCCAGAGCTGGAAAAGGCAGGAAAGTTCTTGTCCTGGGCCTCCAGAAGGAAGCGCCCTGCCCGCGCCTTGGGTTCAGGCCGCTGGCCTCTGGAAGTGTGAAGGAGTCAATTCGTGGGGTGAGCTGCATGGGGCGACAGCCACCCCAGGACACCAACAGGGTTTCTAAGTGGATTTATGAGGCGCTTTAAAAACCAACTTGCAGTGCAGTTTGGGGGGCTGTGGAGGAGGACAGTGACCTCCTGGCAGCATCTCTATCACAGACGGACAGATGGACAGACAGCATTTACCTTGGAAGATGATTTTGGTTCGGTCCAAGGGAGCTACTGCCGTTTTGGCAAGAGCGCCAGCCAGGGCCCCGGACAAGAGGGAGCTGAGCACTTGCCTGTGATCGCTCTGTAAGAAACACACGCACACGTGGTCCGCTGTGAGAGGGAGTGGGGGGTAGGGGGGCCTGCTCCGCAGGGATGGCGCCCCGAGGCTCACCTTTCCTCACCCTCCACCACCCCCTCCCCTGGTCCAGGGGCCACAGAGCCTTCATAGGACAGGTTGAAAACCTCCTAGGAGACAGGGACCACCCACGTGAGAAGTGATGCATGGCTTGGGCCACTGTCTGAGGTTCTGCGATCACAGAGGCAGCCCACAATGAGACTGACTCCAGCCCTGGCTGGTGTAGCTCAGCAGATTGAGCGCTGGCCTGAGAACCAAAGTGTCGTCGGTTCGATTCCTAGTCAGGGCACATGCCTGGGTTGCAGGCCTGGTCTCCAGTTGGGGGTGTGTGAGAGGCAGCTACACATTGATGTTTTTCTCTTTCTCCCTCCCTTCCCTCTCTCTAAAAATAAACAAATAACACCCTTAAAAATAAATAAATAAAAGAGTCACCCCTGACCCAGCCCACTTGCAAGCCTCAATTCTGTCTACCCGGGTGTGCCAGACTCTTGCATTGCAGTTTTTCAGGGCAAAGTCATGAAGACCCTTGTGACGGTGGGGGGACAGGCAGGGGGTGCTGGGCAAGAGGATCCTGCCTGTGTCAGGACTTCAGGAACCGGTGTCTGTGGCTCTTCAACCGAGGCGAGGGTGATGGTGCCGGGGGCTGACCCGTATCACGTGCTCCCATGGCTGCCTTAGGACCAGCACTTTCTTTGCTTTCTTCCTCTTTTCCTCTTTCCCTCCCTCACACGTCCGTCTGAGCCCTACACAGTCTCATCTGGTTGGAGTCTCCATTCCCCCAGCTGACTCTCACAAGCGACCACGGGGAGCATTCTGGAACAGTCCGGACTGGAGGTGGCCCCATCTTTCCTTGATCCACAATGGGCGAGAATGACAAGGGTCAGGTTATTCAATGACCCCAGGAATCCATGAAGTCCCACATAGACCAGGTGCCCTGAAGGGCCTGGGGACACACAGTATAGGATGCGGGTACATATGAGCCGCGCAACAGCCCACGAGCCTGTCGGCACTGGAAGCAAAGCCGGTGTGTCCTTTTCGCCTCCTTCGGCAGGTTACTTCCTGTGCAATCTGTGGTTCTTACAACTCCAAGGCCAGCTCTGTGCACCTGGAACACATGTCTCAAGGTGGCTCTGGGACTCTCTGAGTCCACTTCCTGGCTCAGCAGAGAAGGCTCTTACTGACCACAGCAATTTACTCTTTGAAGAGCTCAGCACGGGCATCACGAAGTGGTCAATGCGTGCATGTCCATTGCATGGCGGGATCCTGCAAATGAAGTGTGAGGTAGACGGTCCAACAGAGAGAACGGACGGCCATCACAGCCTGGCACGCGCACTGTGAGAAGACTCTGGGCTTCTTAACCAAAGAAAGGATTTCCAGGGTGAGCTCCCACGTCGGGTTGGCCAAGAGGACAGAGACTGATGTCAGGTGTGTGGCTGGTGCAGAGGAGAATGGGCACTGGGTGTCCAGGCATGTGATGGGAATGGAAGGGCCTTTTGCTGGCCAGCCAAGGGGATGAGTCTCCCTTATGCTCTGCTGGGAAGTTCACGGAACCGTGAGGGACACGCACGCCCGCTGTCGGCTCATCCTCGTTGCCTGGCATGGTGTGGTGACGGTGGCCCCACACACCAGCCCGCAAACCAGTCCTCCTGCCTGCATGGCGCTTTGCAGGGGCACCTGGCACGGGGGAAAGGTCAGGAGGGATGGGAATACTGCACTGCACCACCTCGGCCTCTGAGCTGGCGGACCCTGAGGCCTGCCCGAAGGCACCTGAGCTGGGCCCTAGGAGCTGGGGTGGGCCCATCCTCACAACCAATCCTGAATTGGCTGATTCTTCTACGTCCACAAAGCTGAGTGAAGAAAAGGGCTCCAGGACACCTTCTGACATCCCAGCGAATGTTGGGTAAGGTTTTGGCTTCTTGCCCTGTGGTCAGGGGGCTGAATTCACATCACAAATGGGGCTGTCAGCATCCCCCCACCAGTGTGTGTGGGGGGTGACCTGTGATGGGTGCACAGAAGAGAGACCCATGAGGACACCCGTGGGGCGGCCAGGTACTTGCCTTTGAAGAGACGGGCGGGGACAGGATGGCCTCGGCATCCTCACGCAAACGCACCGCGCCTTCCTTCACACCATTACCCATTCCAGGCTGCTGGGGACAGTGGAGACTTGGTCCTGAGAAGCAAGATGGAGCACGAGACGCAGTGAGAGAGGGCCTCCCCGACCTGCCTCACGCCCCGGTCACCTGAAGCCAGAAATGTCTGAGTGGGATTTTCTTAACCTCAGGGAAAAGATGCTGCACCGGCATCCAGACGCCACAGCCCCCTCCACTGGTGGCTTAATCACTTACAAAAGCCCTTCTATAGGATCATCACAACCCGGCCTCTGAGTCATCTGTCTTTTTGTCTTTTTAACCTTGTAGCAACTGAGCAGATGGGCTCAGAGAAGTCAAGCCCCCCTGGTGAGGTCACACAGCAGGAGGCAGGGCCAGGCAGGCTATGAGGCAGAGCAGTGGGAGAGCCAAGTGCCCACTGGGCTCAAGATAGCTTGGGCGCTAGCCTCTGTCCACAAAAACAATTTCAGAAAATTAATCTTTTCTTACTGCGTGGCTGCCTCCCCTTTGTGGCCGAGCTTATAACAAAGGGCCCTAATGCTTGAGGATTCCTCACTGGAAACCTACATTGATCCTCTGGGTGGAAGCACATGCAAAGCTCAGCAAACCATAGTGAGGGGACCGTGAGGGTAAAAGGGTAAAGGACAGGCATCACCAAGATGCTACCACGCTCTGGCGTCCTTTGAGGTCTCGGTTCCCATGCTTTAAAATTATCCAATAAATCAATACATTTTCCTGTATTGATTGTAAAATGATGCAAATGATGCAGATGTGCCCTGAGCAGGACATGGAAGCCCCTCTTGCCCTCTGGGTCCTCCCAGGCACTCCACATCAGTGCCAGCGTGGAAGGTTCTAGAAAGCACAAGTGGGATTCCACCCCACTGGCCCCGCCACTGTTTCCTACTCAAAACAGGCCAGGTCTGGGAGGAACAGCTGCTTTCAGGGTGGAACAGGAAACATAGGGATGAGCCCAGACCCCCTGAGATGCCAAGGACAAACCAAAACCAAAACCAAGAGGGCATGACTGTGGGACATGGGAGCCGAGTGGGGTTAGAGACCTCCGAGTGGCCAAAGCTGAAACAATCTGAGCAACAGAATCCACAAAGCAGTACTGGATTATAATCCAAAAAATAAAATGTCCCCATGAGTCCAAACCAGTATAAATGAATGATTGAATGAATAAATGGAGAGACAATTCTCCCATCAAAGGAATCCCAAATAATTTGTGCAGGTGCCCTACTCCCAAGGAAGGGGAGCAGGACTTCCCACCTTTAGGTGTGTAAGCAGTGACTTCCTCCCAAAGGGGACAGGACAGAGGGAAGAGAGCAGCTTTACGGAGGAGAACCTGACAGATACCACCTCAGCCGGCGGAGAGGTCGGGGGGGGGCGAGTGGGGGAGCGAGGTCAAGGTCAACATGACAGTGAAAAGTCATGTTGATGTCACAGTGTGATGGGAACAGCCCTTCACCGCTACGGTCGTCCGCCACCCCCCCACCCCCGCCGGCCACAGCCATCACCCCAGTCCAACCATGAGAAAAACACCACACAAGTCCCAGTCGAGGGCTTTCTATAAAACACCCCACCCGCTGTCAACAACGTCAGTGTCATCAGACCAAGAAAGTCTGAGAAACTGTCAGCCCAGAGAAGCCTGTAGCACATTGAGGAGATGTGAGGCCTAAACGTTGTGTGAGATCCTGGGACAGAAAAGGGACATGAGGGAAGACAGAGAACATCCAAATAAATTATGGACTTTAGTTAATAATAATGTATCAGTATTCTGAAAAAACAAACAAACAAAAACCAAAAAAAAAACGGAGTCACTTTAAAATGGAGGCAGAGCTGCCATCCCAGAGAACTGCCTCGCGTGTTGTACACCTCAGACCCTCGGAATGTCAACACAGGGCGAAACCACCCTTGGAAGAACACTGTGTGCCCAACAACTGTGTGCAAAGCCGCCATGAGAGCCAGCTGGGCTGAAAATTCAAAACATTGCTTATAATTAGTGTCGCTATGTTAGCTTATCCGCACCAATAGAAATGCCTTCCTGCCACTGACGTCGCTGTTCCCCTTCCTTTCTCATCAATACCCATTGCCTTGTCTCCTCATTGGAACCCTATTTGAGTTTCTGCCTGAATCAGTGCTTTCTGATAGCTATTCCTTTTGGTCTTAAATAAATGCTTGTTGCCTTTCACTTTGGCCCCCCCCTTTTTTTTAGGTTCACAATTTGTTCCTTAGTTTTGATCTATGTTCCATACTAAGGTCAGATGTTAAAATGGAAGAAACTGGGTATGTGGGCTATATGGGCTGTGTTATATTCACAATTTTTCTGTAAATCTGAAGCTGTTCACAAACATAAACCAGGCCTTAGCAGTGTTTCCAAGCCGACTGCTGGGGTGTCAGCCTGCGGGATGCACCAAGACTGCACCACCCCCACCCCTAGCACCTCCAGCTGTGGCTTATGCCAGCTCAGCACTCTGGGCCCCGGAGATTGTTCTTGCGTTTGGGCACAGATGGGCTGCAGCTTGTGAGCACAATGAACGTGAACACATACTGTAGAACTTTCTGGAGGAAGGAGCCAGCCCTTTGCACACCTGCAGTGGGTGAGGTGACTGGGGCTGGGTTCCCGCCCCCAGCTCCTGCTCTAAGTTCCCCAGAAATGCAGGTGCTTGCGGGCTCGACCTGGGGCTTCTCCTGGAGCTCACTGGACCTTATGAGGGGCCTGCCCTGGTAACTCAATGTGGACGGCTCACACGGGGCCTTAGTGTGGTGGAAACGGTTAGAAACAAGGTCAGCGCACGGACTGGTACAGAGCTGTAAGAGTGTGTCACTGCAGGTGACAGAGTTCAGATAGGTCACAAGGAAGTCACCTGCAGGGAGCTGAATGGTGGCTCCCAAAAGACACATCCACTCAGAATCTGTGATTATGATATTATATGGAAAAGGGTCTTTGGAGATGTAATTAAGGTAAGAACCTTGAGATGAGATCATGCTGGATTTAGGGTGGGCCCTAAATTCAAGGACAAATGATCTGTTAAGAGAGGGAAAAGGAGCCCTGGATTGAGCATTGTCCTGCAAACCAAAAGGTCACTGGCTTGATTCCCAGTCAGGGCACCTGCCTGGGTTGCAGGGCCAGGTCCCTAGTAGGTGGCGCGCAAGAGGCAACCACACATTGATGTTTCTCTCCCTCTCTTCCTCCCTCCCTTCTCCTTTCTCCAAAAATGAATAAAATCTGAAAAAGAGAGAGAGAGAGGGGAAAAGAGACACAGAAGCTGAGGCGGGAGCGGCGCCCCCGCCCCGCCCCCCGGCTGAGGAACCCCTGGGGCCAGCAGCAGCTGAAGCTGGAAGGGACAGTACTGCAGTATTATTGACTACAGCCTCTCCCTCCCCTAGAGCCTCTGAGGGGAGTGGGCCACACAAACCTTAATTTTGAATGTCTGACCTCCAAAATTTAAGCCACACAGTTTTGTGGTGATTTGTTATGGCAGCCACTGGAAACTAAGCCAGCGCCCTTTTTAGGAACCTGGGGGGTGCCAGGGCCCCCCCGCCCAGAGCAGGCAGTCGCAGCGTGACAGCTACTCCTGCCAGGGCCCCTGCGCCCCGCCTGACAGCCCCCCAGGATTGCAGGGTGGAGGGAGAATGTTCTTGCCCTGGGGCATTGCAAGCGTAGAGCGAGGATGTCAGGATTTCATTCCCCAGGCCAAAGGCTAATTTCTCTAAGAAATAAAGAGCTCTTTGCTCTTTCAAATCATTGAAAACAAAACAAAACAAAAAAAACAAGACAAAATAAGGCAAAAAACCAGCTAGGTCACCAGAATGAAACAGCTTAAAAATATGACAGGTGCCCACCTGCGTGCATCACGGGAAAGACAGATGTTACCATCAGGGAGGGCTGTTTGCATGTATGGGGCCACAACACAACTGTGTGACAAGACAGGGGTGTGGAAGGAGGGGGCCGAGGGTAGCACTTCTTTGCCTTGGAATGCGTGCTGAGCCCCCAGCGCATGAGCACGGCGACTTGTGAGCCAGTAAGGCCACCGCTGGCTGCTGGCCCCAGTGAAGGGGAGAAGGGAGACAGGGAGGATACATGTCTTGTGTCCCCATGGGAGACTGCCACCTAGCTTTATACTGATGGGCAAACCTGCCTGGATCCGGGTGGGGTGCTGCCCAGATGTGAGGTACAGAAGCAGACCGAGCGCTTACAGTGTGCTGTCAACAGTTACGGGGACTTGCTGGACGCAGCAGGGGCTGAGGTAGATGGGGACTGGACTTCTTTTCAATGACAGTTGACATACAGTATTATATTAGTTTCAGCTGTACAACATATTGATTAGACATTTATATAACTTACAAAGTGATCCCCCTGGTCCATCTGACACTGTACATAGTTATTACAATACTACTGACCTATATAGTCCTATGATGTAGTTTACATCCCTGTGACTTTTTATAACTGGCAATGTGTACACATACTCACCAGTAACAGAGAGCGGACACAATCTATATGTGACCACCGCCCCCGTTCACAGCGCTCTTCTTTGGTCAGACCCCCTCCCACTGCACTTGGCGACCCCTTCCATGCTCTCCACTGGCCTCCCCACCCCGAACTGCCACATGATTCTGGATTCATGCACACCTGCCCCACGGAGGCCCCCACCTCACTGAATTGCACCTCCTACTGCCCTGCACAGCATCCATGTTCAGGGTAGTCACCGGGTCCCTTTGCCACTGATGTGGGGACACCTGGTTGGGTCTTCTATGTAGGCACCCGGCCCCCACAGGTTGGGCCCCCACATCTATGCTCAAGAACACAGGCTCCATGGGCATCGTCAGTTAAATAGTGACCAACGGCCCACGTGGCCCAGGATGAGGCCCGCACAGTGGGCGGTCTCGGCTGGCACAAGCAACCCACCTGCCGGAGCCACCTGCTCCCACTCTGGCTTCCTTCAATCCCTGCAGCACCTGCTACCCTCCCTCTCTCTGAAGCAAGAGGCCAGGGATTTGCACAAGGGAGGCAACTGGGCATGGAGGTCTCTTAATGTTCTCTTGTTGCTCTTGTACCTTG